TATCATAAATCTATGTTCAAGTATTGGAGTTATAAGACATTCTAACAATAAGATTGCATCATTGTTTGAGGCCTGGGTATGGCATTCTCAGTTATTTTGGTGTACCCAGGAATGACATGTAAAGCATATGCTGTCTTTTGTCATGTTTATGCATGGTATAAGTCATAGTCAAAAGGGTTGTGGCAAAAAGGGTAAAAAAGGCCATGAAAAAGTCAGAATGGCCATATATTAATTGTATTTGTTTATATTGAATTCATATTTTGTTAGAGGATAAATAGAAAAAAAAAGGTTTTCCTCTTTTATCATCTATCATGTAAACTTCACGCCTTGTGCATGCTATATGAAATTAACATTGTCATTCTATTTTCATGCTAGAATTGGCTACTTATGTACATAATTCAAAGACTGACATTATTGAAGTTAATAATCATATGAACATTCTAAGTATGAGTTAACATACCAATGTCCATTTTTTACATTTTTTTACTGACTGTTTTGACTCTAGTTTGACCGCTGCTCCCTCCCTCACTTAACAGCCATTCCTACTCCCTCCCTCCCTCACTTAACAGCCATTCCTACTCCCTCCCTCCCTCACTTAACAGCCATTCTGACTCCCTCCCTCCCTCACTTAACAGCCATTCCTACTCCCTCCCTCCCTCACTTAACAGCCATTCTGACTCCCTCCCTCCCTCACTTAACAGCCATTCCTACTCCCTCCCTCCCTCACTTAACAGCCATTCTGACTCCCTCCCTCCCTCACTTAACAGCCATTCTGACTCCCTCCCTTCTTCACTTAACAGCCATTCTGACTCCCTCCCTCCCTCACTTAACAGCCATTCTGACTCCCTCCCTCCCTCACTTAACATCCATTCTGACTCCCTCCCTCCCTCACTTAACATCCATTCTGACTCCCTCCCTACTTCACTTAACAGCCATTCTGACTCCCTCCCTACTTCACTTAACAGCCATTCTGACTCCCTCCCTTCTTCACTTAACAGCCATTCTGACTCCCTCCCTTCTTCACTTAACAGCCATTCTGACTCCCTCCCTACTTCACTTAACAGCCATTCTGACTCCCTCCCTTCTTCACTTAACAGCCATTCTGACTCCCTTCCTTCTTCACTCTACAGCAATTCCGACTTTCCCCACTTGACAGCCGTTCTGATTTACTCCCTCCCTCACTTAACAGCCGTTCTGTGTTACTCCCTCCCTCCCTTATTTCTTTCCATCAGTATACATCAGGAAGAAACATGACTCAAGAAACAAACAGATACTTACTGTACGTGTAAAGTTAAAATAAAGTTTTCGCATTGCTTTATATATTGTGGTATATATTTCATTATATGGAAAGTTTTTAAAGTTGCAACTTAAATAATACATACTACAGATTTAGACTTGCCCAAATCAAATTATTAAATCATATCGGCATGCATTGTCAAATAATAACATACTTACCAACAAGAAGAGAACTGACGAGGAACTGGGAGGCTGAGAAGAGGCCTATTTAAGTTGCCAATACTAGTAGGCAGAAAATGTTTTACACACACAAGATGTATGTGGCATACTGTAAACATGGACGAGAATACAGTGCATTGATGGACTACATATTTCAAATATTTTCAAATATTTACTACTCAAAATAAGGTAAAAACCACCTGATTCTGTCATGTAACTATTGTTAGTCTGTCATGCCATTCATGCCTGATTCTTTCATATTGCTATAGTTAATATGTCATGCCATGACAGATTAGCGATAGTAACATCAAAGGTGATCCTTAACTTCTTTTGGGTAGTATATATGTTACATGAGTTAAAATACAATTCAGGAGAGGAATACAGGAATTACTACAGAGCTGCCTGTAGTTCATATATTCCAAGCGCCAGTGATTAAACAAATCAAAGAACTACTCATGTGCTATCAAGGCCTAAAAAATAAAAGTTCTCAGGCAATGACTTTTGAGAATATAGTGCGGGCGGGTGGTGTTTTGTTTTGTTTTTGGCTTATTCAAACTAGTATGTGACCAAATGAACAGTTGTGTACCATCAACCTGGGAAAGGGCCTCCCTACATAAACAAGCACACAAACTCCTATTGCCGCCATGACCATAACATGAGATGCGCAGTTAGGCCGTGTAAAGGGAAGTAACTGTGTGCTATATTGGATCGCATTGTTTTGAAGTATAAGGATTTTTTGATTTTTTCTAAAATGGAAATGAAAAACAAAATGTGAGGCAGATTTTATGATGATGCAGTCGGTGCCTGATAACCAAGACTATTATTTTGTAGCCAAATACAAGCTCAGAAGATCCTCTGTAGGATGAAAACTGACCTTTGCTGTACAATGTGAAAATATAAATAATACCGGTACTTACCGATTGCCATCATCATTATTATATCCAAGACATAGGTAATTAATACGAACATAAAATGAATGCAAAAAATGCGACTGTCCCCTGCTCACATTAATAAAGTGATATATTTTTATCTGGATATTTTGGAGTATATTGTATTCTCAGGTTTACTGTACATGTGCGGAAAAAATGGCATACATAAAAATGCTATAATTAACACTAGATTTAGACAATACTGCTCGCAAAGCTCTTCATGGAACTACTATCCCCCACACTATACATGCTATATCATGGAATTCTATGGAAGATTACGTTAACATAGTTTAAGGGCAAGGCTCAAGCTCATTAAAATCAGATGTTAGTTTTCGCTACCGCTAAACAAAGATCTGAGGACATTCCATTACGGGTCTTCCGATTTTAATGAGATTGGGGCAAGGCTACTTGCATTCTTTTTCTGACGCATTAAGGACAGGTGTCGACTTTCGCATTAATTTTGTGACGCATCAATTTCCTGATTTAAAGTATGTCAGTTTCGAAGATCAGAAAAAACATGTCTGTCTTCACAAAGCACAAGTGTTAAAATGAAGCATTAGTACATGTGCAAATACATTACAGGATGAAAACACCCTTGTTGTTTATTGTTAGATTACAAATATCTGGGCAGTACAGCCTCAAGAAGACATCCATAGGTATGTGGCTTTGCGTATAGAAATGCATACATAATTTATGATCTGGAGGTTGGTGAGGTGAATTGGGGTTTAGCTCCGTGTTCAAGATTATTGCAATTATTTTGCTATGTCGATAATTTGGAAGCATGACCAACTAAGAGTAGCTGTTAAATATTGTCTCAGTATTACCTGAGGGACATGAAGTGGTTTGTGGTGTACATGAGGAATATACAATGATGTGCTTGAATAACTTCATGATTTTGAAATATTTGTACTTTCACATACTGTGTGTTTCACTTGCTGTGTTTCACATTCTGTGTTTCACATACTGTGTGTTTCACATACTGTGTGTTTCACATACTGTGTGTTTCACATGCTGTGTTTCACATACTGTGTGTTTCGCATACTGTTTCACCTTCTTTTTCACATACTGTCTGTTTCATACTGATTCACAAACTGTGTTTCACATACTCTGTTTCACCTTCTGTGTTTTGCATACTGTTTGTTTCACATAATGTCTGTTTCACATACTGTTTCAAAAACTGTGTTTCACATACTGTCTGTTTCACCTTTGGTTTCACATACTGTGTGTTTCACATTCTTTGTGTTTCACATTCTGTTTCACATACTGTGTATTTCACATTTGGTCTTCACATGATTCACATTTCTCCCTACTGTAACTTTCCAGTACAGTATACGGCCTAATCTGGTAAGTGCACCTACTTATGGAACACACAGCACATGGATCAAACAGCACTTTATTGTACATTACTAAAATCACCAAAATGACAAATGTCCACTAGAGCAAAGCCTTTAGCTGTATCATTGTACCTTGGTGTGAAACAGTGCACTGGCAGATCCAAGGGTAGGGAGTGTGTGAAGTGGGATGTGTGCATGTGTATTGGGTGTGGGTGGTGTGTGCGTGTGCATGTGCATGTGCATGTGCATGTGCATGTGGGTGTGGGTGTGCATGTGCGTGTGTGTGTATGTGAGAGAGAGAGGGGGGGTGTTGGTTGCAGATATAGGGTCCAGGGCCCACTTGCACAAAGCAATCTTAGCGCTAAGACTATCTTAAGCCTATGTTAAAGTATGGGAGTTACGATCATCTAAGCGCTAAGATCGCTTGGTTCAAGTGAGCCAAGGTCTAGGTGCAGGGGACCTGACCAACAATGGACCAACTTCCGCAGTGTTACTGTCAATACAGTTTAGTATGTCACATATGTGTAGTTAGTCATCGGACATACCTTCCGTGGCCAAGTTACCTTCAAGTAAACATTTTTCATTCAGGATGAATTATATGAAATGCATTGACCTACTGTCAGTGTGGTCTTCACTAGAAACTGGAGCAGTCAAGTACACTGTATCATTTCACATCAACAGCTGACGAAGCCACATGTACATGAACGAAAACGCTGTACAGAATGAGTGAGTGAGTTGGGTTTCATGCTGCTAAAACAAGATTTCATTTATATCACCGAGTGTCAGTTTAATGTGGATGGACAACCCAAATTGAGGTCATAAGAATTTACCACTTTGGTGAAACCCTTATGCATGAGTTTGGTGCTCATAATAAATGAGAGCATAATGAGGCATCTTTAGCATCAGCATATACTACTCAAAAGAAGTCAAAGAACACCTGATTCTTTCATATTATAGTTTATCTATCATGGCAGTACAGATTAACTACAGTTATATAAAAGAATCTAGGGTTCTTTAACTTCTTTTGAGTAGTATATATAAGTCTTATAAAGCAATATTGAATGGCTATAAGAATTTACCGTTTCCATACCTATTATTGTTATTATACAATGTTGAAACTGAGGATTTTCCCCAAAAAACTTGTATTTCATGTGCATCTGCGAATGACCAGTGGATATGTGTTCCACAAGCCACCTAAATTATACTTGTATCTAATAGTTAGAATAACCATTAATGTAGGAAATACAACAAAAGATGACATGGCATATAAAACAACACAATATTTAGCATAATGATGACGACTGCATTTTATTGAAAAGCATGCAGAAGTGTGACACATTCCAGAAGGCACGAGGTGCATGGAAATATTTTCACAAGGACAAATATCACTTTGTTCTCAATTCAACTCAGTCATTGCAGAATAACGCTCAGTTTACAAGAAATGGTTCAAATTCCATCACGTATAACATTACAAAGAGTATTACAATGTTTCCTGTCGGACAATAACAAACATAGATTCACACAATCTGGTATTCGATACTTACAGTAGAAAGAGACCACACTAACAAGTAGGCAATCTCATTAAAATCAGATCTTAGTTCTCGCTATCGCTAAACAAAGATCTGAGGACATCCCATTACAGGTCATGTCAGAACAACTTTTCATCCAACCAATCACATCGACACTTACCAGATCATGAAAGTGACAGTCGGAATGTGTTTTCTAATGATGCAACCTCGAAAATGTTAACATGGGGTATTCTGAACAACAGTTACGGCCTGTACGACTGATTCCAGCAAAATCTTCGCCTATCTCTCGCTTCCATGGGATAAATAGTTGAACGAAACAGGCGTTGCACAGTACGTAGGAAGCGCTGCCATACAATCTCAACAATATTTAGACATTCCGGGATGTTCGTTTGCTCAGTTTTCAAAATTTTAAATGAGAACTGCGTCAACATATTTTTCAAACGTAGTCTGAAATGGAAGTCGCCAGGTTGAAATGAGTGCCGTAAAGGTCGAGAAAGATGCTTTCTAATTGGCTGATGTCGACTTTTGTCAGTCATTTCAGTGGTTAGTCAAAGTTTGCAAAAGGTCGTTCTGACATGACCCGTAATGGAATGTCCTCGGATCTTTGTTTAGCGCTAGCGAGAACTAAGATCTGATTTTAATGAGATTGACAAGTACGCATCCTCAAACATTCAAAGTAATATTCTAAATGTGTGATGATTATTCAAAGAACTAATGCATCAGAACTGCCCATTGCCTTGCGGCACTTTATGGATGGCAAGTTAAAATATCAACAGTTAATATCGGCCATGCTACTATCAGTAGATGAGGCTGCCAACCAGCCTTTTGGTAGGAGTGATTCAGGGATCAATTTAGAGGATATTCAGGACGCAGTAAGTGGGGGTACAAATAAAATCATATTCCGTACGCAGATTCAATATTTAAACAAAAATTATGGTGTACCTAAAAAATGACTTTATATTATTCATATTTTCGATATTTTTTCAGTAACTTAACTTCTAATCGCACCCTTTACTCAATGCTTTTGTGTTAAGTAGTACTAGGGATTCAGTGGTATGATGGTATTTGGGATTCTGGGAAGGCAGGGGTTGGCACCTGCATGTCAAAAAATGAAAAACACACAGCTAATCATGTACTTTTCGAAATGTTTTGTACAAAATACATTTTAATTGAAAAGACGTGGGTTTCCATGGTGACAACTTTCCTTCATATACCCTGAATGTCACATAGCTGATGACTTGTTGAATACAGTTCATGTCCTGGAATAACCAGCTACCACATCATTGAGGCAAAAGATGATCAAAATTCTGACCAATCAAACTCCAGGTTTAATACAGACATGGCAATTCTAAAAGCATTGAAATTATTTTGTGGACTACACCACTAGTTCTAGACTAGCATTGAGCCCCAGCAAAGTACATATGTACGTCCTTGCTCCAAGAGATTAATTTATCTTATTTGAATAATAAATATCTACAAAATAAGAAAATAAAATCTAAATGGAGACCAGAACAAGACTTGAGTTTATATTTGAATAGGGCATCTGGGTAGCCTTGTGGTTAATGCGTTCGCTCGTCACTCCGAAGACCCGGGCTCAATTCCCGATATGGGTACAATGTGTGAAGCCAATTTCTGGTGTCCCCCGCTGTGATATTGCTGGAATATTGCTAAAAGTGGCGTAAAACCATACTCACTCACTCACTCTGATGCCATCCAATGAAAAGTTTTGTTACAAGTTGCTGCATGGAGATATGAGTGATGATAACAAGCATGATTTGATTGGCTGGTTATTTCAAGATGAGAATTGTGTTGATTTGTCAAGTGGCTATGAATCATTCAGGGTATATAGAGACTATACAACCAGGCATGATTAGGGTGTTCGTCTAGAAATACACATGTGCATCTGCAGTACTGGCAGCTTGTGTTGACAAAGTCAATTCAACCAGGACAAAACTTACTGAATTTTATACATATGGGTAAGCAAATTTATTTTATTTTTTTAACAAAAAAAAACATGCTTAAAAGAAATACTTAAATCAAAAACATAATTTAAATACTGTTTCTCAAATGTATAATTTTTTTATAAGGTTTGCCGATAACAAGAGAATGAATGAGTCTAGCCTTGTTATTAAAAATGCTCAGTTATTTTATATCTTAATCATGTTAACAAATCTCAATTTCTACTCAAAGCTATCTAAAAAATTCACGTGCCATTCATTAAAGTTAAACTTCTCATAGCAATTCATACAGTAATTCCATAGTGGAGTAACAAATATTCAGTTACCATGGTAACATGTTTACATCTCCGATCAATAAATGTTAAACTAACGTGTAATCACATACAACAAACAAAGATCAGGAGACCTATGAAGATTGAGGCTGCCAACATGGCCGACCCCCTTTTGGAACGAGTGATTCCAGGGTCTTAGAGGGTATTCGGGATTCGTGAGGTTCATGGGACGCAAATAAAATTGTATTTGGTTCACAGATTCAACATTTAAAAAATGTATTGGTAGGTGTAAAAAGTTCCTATATATATTTTATTTATGCAATATTTTTGATATGTTTGATTAATCTAACTTCAAATACTATCCCTTATGACCTAGGAACGTGTTCTATAAGTTTTCATCTGTGATCAACATTCTGCCTTTGTAGAGTGAATTCTGACATGTGCTTTTGAGATTTGCGTTAAAAAGTATTTGGGATTCAGGGGTGAGCAAATGAGATTCAAGTGAAAAAATTAATGGTATTCGGGATTCAGGGGAAAGGGGGTTGGCACCAAGACTAAACATCTAACATGACTAGCTGTTTTTAATGCTGTGCAGCAAAGAGCTGGAGAAGATTCTAATACATGTTCTTCAATGACTGGTAAACTGATGTTCGTAAAACCGATCACAACATAAGCATGGAAAACACTTTTCCCCACTTCTAGCACCAGGTGAATTCTTTGAGGCACTTAATTAGGAACTGCTTATTAAGCAGTCATACAGAAATGCTAAAATATGTTCCTAAAATATCATTTTATAAAAAAATCAGAATGACAAGTTTTTTTTATCATGTTTATACCAACGACAGTAAAGGTTGCTTTGACAATAAATGTAATCTAAGGTATTTTTATATGGCTAAAACAGAATTTGTTTGACAATAAATTGTCATAACAAGTCAGAGTTTATATTTTAAATATTCATAAGGACACAAATGGCCAAGATTTTTTTTAATCACCTTCCAATCCAAATCAAACTTTAAGATGATTAAAAAATCCAGTGCGATGCATTTTTTTTTCCGACCTACCGTCTACATTTTAAATTTAAAAGACCCTGGCCTACAAATAATACATCAAACCAATAAAATAGAATGGCTTGAATATTGTGGAGTGTGGCATTAAACAACAAACTAACAAATAGAAGCTAATTGCATTGAATGTGAACAGCGATGCCATAGGCTGATGTATCTAACCTCTAATACATAGACACAACTACTTCTATATTTAAGTAATATAGCTTACATGATCCCTGTGGATTTCAACACAAGCCCTTAACTAGCCTGTAGTAATCAGCATCGTGACAAAACCATGTCAGTAACCATGGTAATGATGGCAGGCATTTCGGCTACACTTAATAAATAGTTCAGTTGAGGAGCAAACAGACCACAGACAATCAACAATAAATCAGTGTATCATCATGCATTAAACATGTTAAAGGGATATTCCACTGAAAATTAACATTATCGTATATTGCTGTGTATAAGGCAAGTTTTTCGTACTTAAAATTAGGGGGCTCTCAAGGGGATCGTCTTTAACACAGGGTTGAAGAGTTTAGATGTTTTTTTCCCCAACACAAAGACATTACTGTGAGCACATAACACGGAAAATACTATGTCAACAAATCTGTATTGAAGTACGTAAATTAATCATGTGATGACACTGTCTGGTTATAAAAAAATGTTCATTGTATATCTTGACTTATTTTGTAACCTCTTTTATTAATTCTATTCAAAATTTCATTTAATATTATGTTAAAAGTCTCACCAGAACTTGTTCCATGTCGCCAGATTTACTACCAGCATATGGAGTACAAAATGTTAAAAACTTCTTTCTGTATAGGTTGGGATATTGATAAAAAATATACAGATTAAGCATTTACTTTTTATCCATATACATGTATAATGACATAAAATTTATAAAATAAACTGCATGTTTCAGCATGTTCAGAAGACAAAATGATTTGAATTTGATCAACGAAAACAAAATTGATAAACCAAAAACTAAAAAAAAATATCCCTGCATTTCATCAGAAAATATGAGATAATATAAAATTAAGAAATCTTTCAGATATAATTGCTGCATGGTCCAAACAAACTGCTTGTAGAGCCAGAAGTAAATATATGAAAATATCAACGTAGAGATAACTTTATGGATAACAAATTCTTTATTTACTGTAAATAAAGAAGTTGTTATCTATAAAAGTATCTCTACTTTGTCACTGATCAACTTCCAAGTAATGCCTATTTTTATGAAAATGTCATTCCTATTCTGTTTTTTTCTTAATTTCATATTTTTCATTTAAAATTTAATGTTATATATCCTAACATGAATAATACTCTATCCATGATTACAAGACAAAAACACATATAAAAATCATCACAGAATATTTTGAGTATGAAAAAATAGTTAAATCAGTTCAATAACAATTATACAAACAATTTGAAAACCTTGTCAATACAGCTGAATAATAACTGATTGAAAGAACAAGAAATAACTAAACAAAATCAATAATAAAAAATCATGAAAATTTTGATTCCTCGGTATTCATCCCATTGCTTTATACGCTCTGATGAGATAATGTTTTGGCACAAGACCATACTTTTCATCTATCCGGCCAACCCACCAGTCCTTGTTGTCAAACTCGCGGTTAATAACATGAACAATTTCACCGTGCTTGAAGGACAACTCCTCATCTGAATCAGCCTTCCAGTCCCATTTTCCATAATACATGTTCTCATAATCCTCCAATGGATTGATCGACAGCTCCAATTTTGGCCTGGGGATGGGTTTAGTAGGCCGGGGTGGGGGTAGGTCCGGTAAGCATGGTAAGGCTGGAAGAGGCTGATCCTGTTTGAATGGGGGTGGAGGGGGTGGAAGGTCTGGGAGAGGCAGAGAAGGTTTGGATCTCATCGGCGGGGGAACTGGAGGTGGTTTTTCTGTGGGTTTCTCTGGAGCTGGCAGAGATTTTTCAACATTTCCCACATCATCATAAACCTCATCCATTTCACCGATAATCTCCTCGTCTGCTTTTGTGGCAGACTCTGCATCATCATAGACTTCTTGATCATCCTTGTCGCCATTAGGCTGTGGAACATCAGTGGTTGCCGACAATGTCTTCACCTGCTCTGCCACCTCCTCCATATCCTCATAAATATCGTCTGAAAAGCAGTTTAGTCGTATGGAATAACCTCAGAACCAAACCCTGAGCTGTACCCATTGATGAGACAGTTTGAAACTTGGAAATGCATTTTTGTATGTGATATACACCTACCCTATTGTTTGTGCTGAATCAGCACTATTTCAACCATGGTGGGTTACAACCTTTTACAATAAATCAGGAGTGAGTGAGTTGGGTTTAACACCTCTTTGAACAGTGTGCGGTTATATCATGGCATGTCAGCTTAATGTGAGAGGAAAGCCCAAAGTGATGCAGGTCTTAGACGTTTACCACTTTGGTGAAACCGACAAGCATGGGAATAGTGCTGACAAACCTAGAAACATAATCGGGGTGATCCCAGATTCGAACCTATCATAGGTTTCTGGCATGGCCCAAGGGACGCAACTCTGCACAGTGAATTTGAGCACCTTAGACGACTGGATCACCCATGCCCCAAATAACTCAGAAAGGACGAGGGACATTTCTTGTTGACTGCCAATTTTACCATGGCAATTCTGGCATGAAGAATCATTGCAGACAAGAAAAATATAAATTTAATTCTATCCCTGTACAGAGCTGATATTTGGAAAATTATCAAACAAATTCCAAATTATTAATTGCTTAATACATATTGACTTATTTATCCCTATTGTTTACATAGTTGGGTAGGTTGTGCTTGGCAACGTGATGTCACCTCTGTGTGGTGTTGATGTTAACGTTTCTGAGTGGTTTGTTGTATCATCTATCCATAGCCTAGACCTTATTCTTTAGATTGTTTCCAACTGTGCTATAAATATACAGTATACTTGTCACAGTGTGAGATAGCCGCGGTTACCATTCCTCGTTACATATCAGTTTTCAATTTGTCACTACTGGGGGCTATGGATCGTCCTGTTGGAAGTCTTCCAATGTTCACTGTAAGATTTACAGCTCATTTCTACATCTTTGATAGGCTACAAAGCATAGATATATACCGTAATTGCTAACCTCTAAATACCTATACTTAATTTTTACTGAAAGTGAAGTTTGAATAAGGATTCCAAATCAAAAAGAAATCTGATGGTGTTTTCAAGATGGCCGCCATCTTGTTTTCCAAAACCTGTATCGACTTTTTTTTCGAATCCTTCGAATCCTTATTGAAATTTTACTTTTGATGAAATAAAGCGAACATATTTGGAGGGAAGTGATTAACATGATTAAGGAAGACATTTATTTATAGCTTATTAAAACTTTTTTTATTTGTTGGCCAATCAGATGTTCCAGTGAGCTGTAACTCCTACAGCGCACATTGGAAGACGTGGAGATTTGTAGCCCCAGTAGTGACATAGAGAAAACTGATATTAAACAAGGAACGATAAGGAGCTGCATGTTGGGGATGTGATGATGGGGAAATGGATGTACCGTATTGTTATTTGTAAGCAAGACACTGTGCTCTAGACACAAAGATCTAAGAATGCTGCTCTAGAATATAAAAGTATGTAATATGAGAGAAAGTCATACAGTCCTTCAAATGGACTTAACGACAAATAGAAAACTAATTGTAGAAAATCTATTCTATGCAAAATCTAGAGTACTACTTAGGTGTGGACTGTGGTGAATAATTGTTCAGTTTTAGGTACATTTTTCTGAAATGATTTCTTGATATATCAATACTGTATCAACAGAATATCACATTATTACAAATATGTACATTTACTGTTCTTCTGTGTGATTGTGTTGATTATAATACTAGACAATTGAAATAAACAGTTTTTTAAGTCATAACTTCTGAATCTTTGGGTTTTTAACCACAATAAATCTGAACATTCTAAAATCTTCCTATTGAAAACCTTGAAATCATTATTCATTAACATTAAAATTAATAATTTACCTGATAATAATTGATAACATATTTACTGGAAATTATATTTAACAATATTTCCGAAATCTCTACACGTCTATATGTTAATAAAGCAAGCGTTATCACCAGCTTACCGAACTCGCCCTCTATTGGAATGTCACTGCTACCTGTAGGTTCTCCGCCACTCTCGATGATAACCCGCCATGACTGGAACTCCTCCTTTGACTCTGCTAGAAACTGAAAATAAAAAACAGGATATGTTTTTTGCGTGTTTTTTGTGTGTTTTTTACGCCGCACTCAGAAATGTTCCAGTTATATGACCAGACAATCCAGTGATTGACATCATAAGCATCGATCCGTGCAACTGTGATGCAATTGGCATCAACCAAGTCAGCGAGCCTGACCCCCTGATCCCGTTAGTGGCCTCTTATGACAAGCATAGTCGCCTTTTACCGAAAGCATGGGTTGCCGAAGACCTTTTCTACCCCAGATCCTTACGGGTAACATAACATGTTTACAACATGTACATGATGTACGAGGGACAAACCATTTGATATTCGTGGGGAGCAGGGGAGCATTTCTTTTTTATTTAGACAAAAAGAGTTTGTTGCAGAAAATAGTGGGAACAAATAATATTGCTTTAGTTTTTACAAAAAGAAAGAAATTGTTCGCAGAACACATCGATAACAATTGTGTTGTGAAAAAATAAAATAATTGTTCAAAGATCCTGTCTGAAACTGTCCTTGCCTTATTTTCAGGGGTCAAAGGGACTAAAAGTCTTCAATGTTGGAGTACCTAGCTACAATACAGGGGTCCCTGAGTATGTCTACCACAAGCGACAAAAGACGGCGCATGCTCAGAGGCCATTAGTTAAAAATAGATGTGGAATTCCCCAATTGAAACGATTCTACAAGTGCTATCTCTAGAAGATCGTTTGATGTTAATTTGTTTGTTGTTTCTATAATTCCAGCTATATGATGGCGGTCTGTAAATAATTGAGTCTGGACCAGACAATCCAGTAATTGATATTATGAGCATCGATCTACGCAATTGGGATACAATGACATGATGAACTAAGTCAGCGAGCCTGACCACCTGATCCCGTTAGTTGCATCTTACAACAAGCATGGGTTGCTGAAGATGAAGACGTATTTTAACCCGTACCTTCACGGGTTGGTAAAGAAGAGTGGTTTCTTTAGCAACATTATAGCAGGTGTTACAAATCCAGTGATTGGCATCATGAGCATCTATTGACAAGCATAGTCCCCTGTTATGGCAAGGATGGGTTGCTGAAGACCTATTTAAACCTGGACCTTCAAGGTTCTAGAAGATCATGAAGTATTCAACTGTGTATTGTATTTTTGAAATGATTACGTACGAAAATTGATTTTAAGTTGTTCCAAATGATGAAATAACAGCATTCATTCCTAAACATGCATCCCAGTGAATGTGGTGAATGCACTCAGTATTTGCTTTGCATCTGTTTTCATTTTTTAAACACGCTGCGATATAACTGGAATACTGTTAAAAGCGGCGATAAACCCAACACACTCACACATTTTTTAAATGCAGGATTTGACAATCGGAACATCCCTGGACTAAGCCCAAGCCTACAACTACAGGGTCACCTTTCCCTCTCATCAGCAGGACATCTGACAGGCTTTACCTACACACATACAAAGTGTGAATGAATGCAATAATTAACATTGCCAGTTTAAATCCGAATAACTAATCAAACTCGTAGACATGTTACATATAACTGACAGTTCTATTCTGGCAAGAAATACACTCATTCAGGCTGTCAGTGGTTGATATTCCATCATCTGGCATTGAAATCCCCATCTAGAAAAAGCTAAATGCTTTTGAGTAGAGCTGAAACAGGTAACATTGGTACTCGAACAGGACTCGAGTATCCACAGGTCTACCCGGACGGGTAACTCGGGTACCCGGGTCAGGTGGGTACTGAGTAGGACCCGGGTACCCACAGGACTACCCGGACCCGTGGTTAGTCATGTGATATATTGTTTAATGACAAAAATTATCAACAATTCCACGGTAACACCACAAGTCACTAATATTCGCATTTCTTTCTGACTATGAACGCATTCCTTCTGACTTTCGTATGTTTGAAATAAAGATAAAACAACTTCAGTGAACGCATGATCAGATCGTTTTATATGTGTATATGAACAGATTTTGTCAAGACTACGGTCAAACTTTTCCCAATCGGACATTTTGTACCCATCTCTTGAGACCTACAGCATGTAGGGCGGGTAATGGGGGGGGGGGGGGGCTTTACCCCGGGTAGTAAGTTTGGACTCGTCTGAGCATGAGCAGTTTGAAATCTGTGAAGCATGTCACAAGCCTATCCCATGTTCAGTCATGCTTTGGAACCCCCCAAATTATTACTGAAAGTCTCCTGTTCTAGAAACAAGATAGACCCAGGTTAATCACTGCATCTGACCTGGTATGACCGCTTCCCTGGCGCCACCATCTCAAAGCTCAGTTCCTTCTTGGCAGCCTCCTTGACATGTTGTGGTGCCTCGCGGAACTCATAGCCTGAAAATAGGGAAAGCAGCATCATGAAGCACACCAACACTTGTACCATGTGTACCATGTGTACCATGTGTACCATCTGTACCATGTGTACCAGAGGTTCAGCCATACAGGTAAGAAGAGGTTAAATATTGTTTAATGTCACTTCCAAAATTCTTGCACTTATACAGCATCTTCCCGAGGCAAGGGAGTTAGCTGACTGATAAAAGACCAGTTTCCACCCTTGCCGAACTAGGCTGGAATTATGGAGTTATATTTTGGCTGGACTAACGAGTCAACAGATATTTTCCAAACCTTTTCATGTTTTTAATCAAGGTTCTCACCTGATTTGATGCACTCAGTGAAGTATGACCTGTTTTATCAAAATATAGGGTTTGATTATCGATCAGATCGTCTTGACTGGGCCCCGCCATTTTGTTTGAAGCAAAATGCAAGTGGTATGAGAGGTAGAATCTGATTGGTCAATAGGAAGGACATAGAATGGACATAACTCGTAACAGCCACTGGTGGCGCTAAAATCGAGCCCAGAAATTCCAGCCTAGTTTGGCAAAGGTTAAAATGGGACTTTTATAGTCAGTTGACTCCCTTGCCTCGGGAAGATGTTATACAGCAATGTGCATGCACTTGTGTCTCAAGCGCTCTGCTTATACTTGCCAGTAATGCCGGTTTTATAGTGACAGCCCACTGAGATACCACTGCACACTACACTGACACTGAGCAGACCAGTCCTTGTTCTACCCCATCAATGCCAAGCGCAAGGCAGGGAAACAACAAGTTACATCTTTTTTTCGGTATTATGTGGCCAGGGACAAACCTTCCTCTCTCTGGGCAGACGCTCTATCCATTTGCCCATTGAGGGGGTCCTTTTACCCAATAACAAAAATCAAATCCTGACATGAAATCCAAATCAGTTTAAATATTATGTTTACAGAATGATTATGCAAATGGGTACCAACTTTCTAACTACTTTGCATGTGACATCACAATGGTCGCTATGGCAACATCCCAGGAAGTATGTTGTCACGCAATGATGTGTGCACCACATGACATCATGTTCACAGCACAACATAATCTGATCTTACAGGAACTATGGCCCAAAAATAACTGTTTACTCTGATCTGTTTACTGAACATGACTTGGTTAATCATCTATGGTCATTTCCTTCAACAACAAAATATGTCTCTGAAATATCCCAAATGTCAAGTTTTTTACTTACTGTTGTGATACATTTTTCATATAGCAATAAAATGACAAAAACATTTATCTTGAGTTCTCTATATATAATATCAATTCATACCATAGACATTTTTTCATTGATGAAACAGCTTTTTGATGCTCTCATGCAAAATCAAAGTTATTGTGTAAACAAGATGTTTTATGCCCCTTTCCTGCTGAATGACATTTACCATGTTGTCCTTGAATGTAATCCAATCACATGTCAGAATATCCCCTGGGTTATACGAATGGGTACATCATGTGTGATGTTTCTAGCAGTCACATGAATTGCATGTGTTTAACCAGTCTTGACACATAGGTCTAGGTCTGTAGACAGGGTTTTATCTCACCCACGATTCAGAATGTTGAGATTTGATTGGTCCACATGATCTTGACAAAGTACTATGTATCCCCACTGGGAGGGAAGTAAATTAATCCCTTACACCCCATTTAGAAGAAAACAGGCTGCACATGGATTTCTGAGTGGAAGAATAAATCCCTTATACCCTGCTACGAAGTAAAAAGTGGCACGCCGTTAACGAGTCAATGAAAATCACATGACACAGCACATTAAACCTCAGCTCAATCGAACAGCTGTTTTCTGTCGATTTTCAATTTGCTTTTATTCTTTTACAATGGCAGATTGAAACACGATAATAAGATAAATTTATTGTCACAGAATCACAAGGGGTATATGTGGTTTTATGCAATCCTCGTTAGGTCTTATACCACACGCCTCCGGCCTTTGGCTCGTGGTATAAACACAAAACCTAACATGGCTGCATTTAAACACATATACCTCTCCTCATACTGCTACGCCTAATAACGTATGAGATTTAGGGTACTCGGTCAAGAAACTTAATTCTGAAATCAACATGGAACAGCTTTTGTGTACCACTTACAGTCCATGACAGACATTCAGAACATTACCTTCAAGAAAAAAGGCTCCAGACTGTTTGACATCCTTGCTCTTCTCATAGTAGTAGAAGGTCTTGTTGTGGATCACGCAGAACCTCTTCTGATACGCACTTTGTAGAAGCGTGGCTGGAACAATGAGTGAGTGAGTGTGTTGGGGTTACAACTTTGACAGAACATATCAGTCGTATCATGGCATGTCAGCTTAATGTGGGAGAAAAGCAAGAAGTAATGCAGGTCTCAGATGTTTACTGGTAAAAGTCACCAACTGGTATGGGGGCCATTGTACAAACCAACCTTACCGCAATGATTGTCGTAAGTCTATGTTAAGGCATGGGAGTTACAATCACCTTAGCGCTAAGATCTTTTTGTACAATGTCACCATGGTGCTGACACACAATGGTCAATAATCAGTTAAAATCATGGATTCGAACCCACAATCAAACCTGTTGGTGAAAGTTTGGTTCTTAATCAGTTAATGTTGTTTTATGCTACAGCATTAGAGAAGCTTCATAATGGTGCCATGTAAATAATTCATTCTGGACCAATCAAACCAGAAATTGACGATATGACATCATGACCGATATCCATTCTGTCGAAGCCCAATGACCACGATCGGCATTGTGACAGGTCACTGTGTGGTCAGCATTGGTACACAATAGTCCATATTCCATCCATGGCATCACAAAAAATTGTATGGTGCTGACATAATCGGGACGTACCAGGATTCGAACCCACAATCATTGGCTTCTGAGTTGCCCAGGGGACACGACTCTGCACAGCGAATCACAGCGCCTGAGACAATTGAGCCACCCGTGCCCCCTTACTGACATGTGACACTGAACACACTTTTCTTACAAAATATCCTCCATTCTGAAGAAGACATGAGAAGGCCTGACTAGACACACTGCAACCCCTGTTTGTTTGTTTGTTTGTTTGTTTGTTTGTTTGTTTAACGCTGCACTCAGCAATATTCCAGCTATATGACAGCAGTCTATAAATAATCGAGTCTGGACCAGACAATCCAGTGATTGATATCATGAGCACTGACCCTCTGATCCTGCCATTTACGGCAAGCATGGGTTGCTGAAGACATATCTTCACGGGTAGCAACCCCTGTCTGCACACTGCTTCCCTCCCATTCTGTCAGGTGATGTAGACTTCACATACTTTTCAAGATGTCACCATGATAAACTCAACGATGAGTTTGATAAAAGCCATTTTTGCCTTTAGCAAGTGATTTGTCATATGATCAGGAAACAGAGAGGAAAATCTGGTATTGAGGCTGGATCAGGCTACCAGTGGTGGATAGTATGATCAACAAATCGCCTCATCACTCCATTTTGACATCATTTTCTTCTGGGTTACACATGAGAATTATGCCTTGGTATTTCCTTGTTTCAACATATTTGTGAACTACCATATTTAAATTCTATTTAAAGCTATTGTCACCACTCAGTCCCCAGACATGTCTTAAAGCTCTCAAAGCATGGATGGGTTGCTGACGACTTATTCTGCCCAAGAATCTTCATGGTTGATTGTGTCAGTTAGGAATGTGATTCGAGTAACCAAGTTGGGGTTTCTGGGTCAGAATATAGATCAATCTGAGCTTGGCTAAATGGATCGGGCGGTCAGGCTCAGTGACTTGGTTGACTGCATGTCATTGTATCCTAACTGCATGGATTGATGCAAACAAACAACCAAACAGTATGATTCACAGCAATTCTATACTAATGCTTATCTAACCTACACTTAACAGTAGTTCAATTAAGGGAGTATTTAAGATTCAAATGAACCTACCTTTTTTCCTCTTCTTCTCCAAGTATCCCATTTTGACAGCATTTGTTAGATCTTTCACAGCAACTTCAGGCACATCTGTTTAAAAATGCATATATATCATTATATAAATTGTATTCCTTATTAAAAATAACATCAAAATTATCATTAAACTCAATTTCAAAGAAAGCATATGCAGTTTGAGGCAACTGATTAAAGGAGAGAGGTATTATATTTAAAAATACTTTTGATTTGTAGCCAATCAGAGATCAGAGTCTGTAAATCGTATATTGTCAGACTTTTCTTACAGGACTCTCCGCAGCCCCCAGTAGTGACATATAAATAAATGATACCGTAAATCATGAAATTAATGCATCACGATAATAATGCAAACATGAGTACCAAAACCAAGTATTAAAGAATGAACACTTGTCTTCCTGATCCAACTGTTAGTAGAGGTCGACAATTTACCACATGTTTGGTGTACTACGATACTCTGGGACCACTAATTTTAGTTCGTTATAACCGTAGTTCATTATAAGCGAAAACAAGCATATACATGATATATGCAGCAAATGGCCAGGACAAAAAAAACCCAGTTCATTATAACCGTCTGTTCCTTACAAGCGTTCTCGTTATAAACGTAGTTAACTGTAAAACAAATCTACAAAATAAACTTTGCTTTTATTTCTTTTCATTCTCCCTGATGATGGAAGTTTCCTGCAAACATGCCAAGTGTAGAATTTTCGTATCGCATCGTGTATCTTGTACTGTACCGCATTACATACCCAGGTTTGGGAAAGTTGAGACTGAGATAAGTCACTAGCATTCAACAACATATGACTCAATTAGCTTTAAGCTCTCCAAGCCAGATGGGGGCGGTCGGGTAGCCTAGTGGTTAAAGCGTTCGCTCGTCACGCCAAAGACCTGGGTTCGAATCCCGACATGGGTACAATGTGTGAAGCCCATTTCTGATGTCCCCGCGCCGTGATATTGCTGGAATATTGCTAAAAGCGGCGTAAAACAAATCTCACTCACTCACTCACTCCAAGCCAGATGATCTGGGCAACATATACACCAACATGATTAACTGTCCACATTAGTGTTTCCTATCATGATACAATTCATTATATATATATAATTAGGGCTTGGGTTACCATGGTGACAGTATTGTCCGTCCCGAGCTATTAGTCTGAGAAGCTTGTTACAACTACGAGGCAACAAATATTGTGAGTAATGGGTTATGTACAGAAACCTGAAAGGGTCATTCTAACATTTTTAGTCTTTTTTGTCTTTGTTGTATAACGCCGCACTCAGCAATATTCCAGCCAGACGATGGCGGTCTGTAAATAATCGAGTCTGGACCAGACAATCCAGTGATTGACATCATGAACATCAATTCACGCAATTGGGACACGATGACATGCATCAACTAAGTCAGCGAGCCTGACCACCCGATCCCATTAGTCGCCTCTTATGACAAGCATAGTCACCTTTTACGGCAAGCATGGGTTGCTAAAGACCTATTCTACCCCGGATCTTCACTGGTCTACGTTTTAGTACCCATGTACTTTAAGTAGACTTGTTATTGCCTGTCAAAGAATATACAGTGAAATGTTCCTGGATTTACCAACCTCTGTTACCATGAACCAGCAGAAACAGTAACTTGTAGGGACAGCAACAAATTTGTATGACAATCGCCAAAAGAAAGGAGGGCTTTACAGGCAAACATTGCCGACAATGTTGTCATTCCTGTTTGATTTTGAAAACGTCTGTCAACACAGCTATACCTTCACTTTCCTTGCCTCATGATTAGCAGTGGACACTGGATACATAAGGCCGGTAGTGTAGTTTGTACATCGTATACATCGTATTGTACACAAGTATACTTAAAAGTGGTATCACGGTACCTAAGAGTGGTACCTGCAGGACAATGGCCTGTTTAGCATTAGAAACTGACATTAGTCCTATCATGCTGATATTCATGATAGTTGGACCAAACTTCTCAATAGTACCAGTAGAAATTGCCAAATTTTAAAGGGTTTCCACATGTCACTGCATATATAATTCATATCATCATATTCATAAGAACACAAGCTGGACATAGCACAGGAAAACAAGTTTCAATTAATAAAACCAGCATTTCACACAGGGTTAATATTAAAAGCAAGCGTAACCATGGTAACAAAAACAAGATATGTTAATTATCTAAAGTATCCTAACTAAGAGTCACAGGATTGTTAAAAAACAAGGTATTGAACTAAAACTTTCTAAGACTCTGTTAAACTTAAACAGTAATTAAACAGTAACTTAAAGACCCAACCAATTGAAACTTTAATTCTCATTATGATAATATGCAAAAGAAACATAGAGCTATATAAACAATGTATAAACACTATTTCCCCAAAAGCAAAGAAATCACAAACTCTACCTTCAAGACCAGGCAAATCCCAAGTTTTTCTCCGATTTGGTAAATAGTTGCTTGAATGGAAGGACTGGTAAATATCGTTGATTAATTTCATCATTGCCAGATGTTTCATTATCCATACATAAACATTGACCTCGTCCAAGATGTCCGCTCAATGTACAAAGCTTAAACTAATTATTGTCCAAAACTGAAGGAAGGGACCAGCAGGGTGTCCTCGCTTCCTATACAGTAAGAGGATTACGTTGTTAAACCTAGTTAATTACTTGTCAAATCTGTGGGAGGAAGCACAAGGTTTGACCCCAGACTGAGGTCACTTGCACCAGCTTTCAGTTCTGTCAAACTGGCAGTGTTGTTCAGAAGCTGACGACAGTTTTTATTGAGACTAGTCCATTAACAGTGAGTATACAATGTGGGTTATATGTTGTTGATGTGTGTTGTTCAATGTCGCACTCAGCAATATTCCAACTTTATGATGGAGGTCTGTAAATAATCGAGTCTGGACCAGGCAATCCAGTGATTAACATCATGAGCATTGATCTACCCAACTGGGATATGACATGCATTAGGGCTGGGACGAGTCCAAATTTACTACCCGGGTACCCACCTCCCTATTACCCAACCCTACCCAGGTACCCGCTGTAGGTCTCAAGAGATAGGTAAAACATGTCCGATTGGGAATAGTTTTGACCGTACTCCTTTCAAAATAAATTTAGATACACGTATAAACCGATCTTGTCATGCATACACTGAAGTTGACTGATGTTTTATTATTATGCAAACATATAACATATATATATATATATATATATATATATATATATATATATATATATATATATATATATATATATATATATGATATAAAGTGTGTGCAAAGTCAGAAAGAAATGTGAACATTTATCACTTATAGTGTAACCATAGAGTTCTAGATAATTTTTGCCATTAAACAATATAATCACGTGATTAACCACTGTTCCGGGTAGTCCTGTGGGTACCCGGGTCCTACTCAGTACCCACCCGACCCGAGTACCCGGGTTGCCCAGCCCAGCCCTAACATGCATCAACCATGTCAGCAAGCCTGGCCACCTGATCCCGTTAGTCGCCTTTTACAGCAAGCGTGGGTTGCTGAAGACATATTCTAGCCCAGATCTTCACAGGTATGATGTTATATTTACAGTAAACTACAGATATAACAAACTCAAATGGACCACTTATTTTAGTTCGTTATAACCGTAGTTCGTTATAAGCATAATGACAACATCTATACAGCAAATGGCGGGGACCAAAAAATAAGTTCCTTATATCCGTCAGTTCATTTTAAGCGTGTTCAGTATAAACATATTTTACTGTATTATTATTTTCATGTTTATTATGGAAGGTTCATTTCTATTGTCTGTAACCTCAATGGACATTGGACTTTTTCTACAAAATGTGATTCTGATTTTACCATTTATGTCAAATATGACTTTATACAGTTAGTCACTTTTATTACATTTAATATTTCGTACCATTTACACAATTCTTAACCTTATTTCAGACCTTGAACTTAGCCAAAAAATGTAAGCCACAATGAATTAATTGTTACATTTTTAGCCACAGTTTAAAAAAATGTAACTTCGGAAGCATTCTATTTTCTATAATCTTTCTTAAACAAATTGATCACGGCACCCTTACCTAAAGGGCGATGACACAATTGTCTGGCCTAAATCATGAAAATATCTTGACTTTTAAAAATACATTTGTAATGTTTTACAGCAATGGGAATGATATTGATGTCCATTAGCCAGTGGTAATCCATTGATAAAATTTCAACAGTATTACACTTAGCAGAGCTCCAGATAACTTTTTGAGCAATTGAGTTTTTACTCTAGGGTTTCTATCTTAATTGGGTTACCGTATTCGACGTAATAAGTAGGGCTGCAACGATACAGGAAGGTCACGATACGATATGCATCTCGATATTCTGGTCACGATACGATATGTATCTCGATACACAATGATAAAAAAAACAACACTTAAAGCATGTCAAGATTGAACCTTTCATGATTTTGGAACAGTCAAAATTATTTTATAATAACAGGTCTACTGAAGTTGTTCAACTTTCCTTCAAAACCATTCAAAGTTCAAACACCAGAAAATAATTAATGTACTCCACCAGTGATACAACTTCAAAGAATTTTTATGCAATGGTCGAAGATATTCTATTTTAAATTATTGTTTTATCAGGAATAATTTATTCCAATATCGTGTTACCTTAGTTGCAGCTTTTACTATATATATATTTATAATTATAAGAACCACAAGTGTAGCATTTTGGTACTGGTGATTGCTGTTGCAGGATATGTTTTCGTTTGGAACAATTTGACCAGTCACCCTAGGGACTTCCCGTGCTACATGTATTTCGATTGTGCTAATGTTATGTTGACATATATTAGCCAAATTGCCACAAATATGACTTTTAACGAGTCAAAGTATGGCATTTTTAATATATGTATCCATTCTCTAGCAACTAAAGTTTGTTTCAATGTGTCAAAAGCGGTAATCTGACCGTGGTTGCTGTATCTCTTCACACACGATTTCACATATCTTAATGAAAACAATATTAAATGAAATTTTGAATAAAATTAATAAAATATATTACAAACACAAGTCCAGAAATACAATGAACACGTTTTAATAACAAGATAGTATAATAATGGTATTGAATTGCGTACTTCAGTTCGGATTTGCTGACTTGTATTTTTGGTGTTATGTGATCAGCTGATAATGTTTTATGAGATGGGAAAAAACATCTGTCGGTGTAAAACCTGAGCTTATTAAAAATGTAAGTACGTTTTTGGGAGCCATGCGTTAGCGCGCGCTATAACCAAGTTAGCAGTTTATTGAAAGGCACAATAGCGAGGAAACGCTGTACTTGAGATTTGCATTCCGTATCATGGCGTATCGATAAATGGGCCCACGTTTATCGTATATCGTATCGTGGGTCAAGTATCGCGATATATCGGAATATCTGTGTATCGTTTCACCCTTAGTAATAAGCGCCCCGCTCTAATAAGCGCCCAAGGCGATATTTGCAAAAACCACGAAATTTACGATCTTTCAACTCTGTTGTTTTTCACCAAAATAATATTCTAATAAGAGCCCCCTATTTCAAATTTTGAGAGCGCCCTGGGTGCTTATTATGTCGAATACGGTATTACATTTTTCATTGGGTAACCAATATTTTTTCACTCATCTATTCATCACTCCATTGGTTTTTTGCAAAATTAGTGAACATTTTAAGATTTGAAACAAAATGAAATAATGCTGAAAAAGCTTCATTGGGTATTTACGCATGCTGTTTTTATACATTTGAGTTTTTCATTTAATGCATGCGTTTCTGTACGCAAGTTAATTGAAAGTTTTGAATATTTGTTTTGGTATTTTACGCAAATACGCTTATCTGAAGCTCTGACTGTGCCACAGGGTATCAGCTTCATGTGGGAGGACAACCTAAAGTGATGCAGGTCTTTGCCACTTTTGTGAAACCTACAAGCACAGGTATGGGGCTGACTATCTAGAAACATAATCAGCCGAATTTGAACCGACGACCATACTTTTCTGGCACACCTAAGGGATGCAAATTGTCATTAAATGACCAGTAGCCAAATATCTCTTATAGTCAGCAGATCCAGATGAGAATAGGTCTCCAGCAACCCATGCTTGCCATAAAAGGAGATTATGCTTGTCGTAAGAGGCAACTAACAGGCTCGTGGACTTGATTGATACATGTCATCGTGTCCAATTTGCTCATGATGCCTATCACTGGATTGCCTGGTTCCAGATTTGATTATTTACAGATTGCCGTCAATAGCTGGAATATTGGAACAAACAAACAAATCTTATAGTCAGCGCTACAGAGTATGTACCATACTTTACATGATTGAGTGAGTTGTGTTTGAAGTGAGTGAGTGAGTGAGTGAGTGAGTGAGTATTGTTTTACGCCGCTTTTTAGCAATATTCCAGCAATATCACGGCGGGGGACACCAGAAATGGGCTTCACATATTGTACCCATGTCGGGAATCCAACCCGGGTCTTCGGCGTGACGAGCTAACGCTTTAACCGTGAGGCTACCCGACCGTCCAGTTGTGTTTGAACAGTTTTCCAGTTATTTCACAATGTGCCAGCTTAATGTGAGAGGAAAGCTTGAAGTGATGCAGGTCTCAGACATTTACCACTTTTGAGAAACCTACTGGGATTTCATAAGGATATTAGATTTTTGAAATTAAAACTATGTGCCTCAATACTTTATAAGGGAAAACACCATGAAACAAGGAAATTTTTTGTGGAAGACAGTTTCTTTTCTTTTTGACAATCTGAATAATAATAATTTTTTTAAAGACTTTTCTGGGACAATCTTTTTATGGATAAAATCCCAGCCCCCCTCCCCCTACAGAATAAGAATATCAAATGATCGGACCTTAGACTAGACAACTTACAGGGCCACCCCTGTACTTTATGACCTGAATCAGTAGAGGGAGAGCTGGTGCAGCTATACTCGGCAACTGAAAACCTACAGCAAGTCTAGGCTTACAGGAAGATACAAAATGGTGGATCTTATTCACAAGTATACAAGTATACTTTTACAATATGTATTGCAATATATTGCCAACAAAAGTTATAAATATCCACCCATTTTAGGACACTGGAAATTTAAGACATTGTTATCTCAAAATAAATCTGCTTTCAGCTTATCACTGTTTACAAGGCTGCATAAAGCATTCACATTCAAGACAGGACAACTTGCATGTTTATTCACATCACAAATTATAAACTATTCTCCTATATCTGATGTCTGTCATCACTCATGTATCAAGGTCAACAGGTGGCACACTTTTCAGAAACATCACTTTTAGGTACAGAATATTTTTTGTCAAAAATTCACCCACTGCCCACTGCTTGTAAGTCCCAAACAACAATTTGCAGCTGAACCTATTGTGCTGCATTTTTTTCAGACTAAACTTTCCTGCCGCTTTAAATAAGCTTTAGCTTTTCTTTCAAGTATAATCTTAGGTTCTTTGAGATGCTCAGTTCATAATTTGATGACAGCAAAAGCTAGATGACTCAGTGTAGAAAAACACATTATGCATTATCAGTTCTATGAGAAACTACTAAAGTTATAGACTAACATCTAGTCTCTGAAATGAACATATCTTCCATAAAAACACAGTTGTTATACAGTTGTATCAGGGTCAGTATGATAGACTTCTGCCGTTAGTATATACAAAGTTACAGTTAACATAATAATACACTCACTAAGTTAAAGTACTGTGTTAGTAATGTTACCATGGTTACAATGATGTCATGTAGCAGTAAACAGGAGGTAGTGAATATTGTAATTTCACAGGCTGCCACAGAGTACTTCCCAAAACTCAAGATTTTATGAGCTCCTCGTTCTCTTGCTGCCACTCACAATATTCACTCCCCTCACCATCATAAACAGCCACATAACAATGGTATTAGATGGAGTAGTTCACCACTACAGTAAGTTTGTACTAAAAGTAAAGTATTTTCAAACCTGATGCTTGAAAAAAACCCAAAAAAAAACATAATTACAACATGCAGGTATCACATATCTTAAGCTAAAGTAACATGCATACATGACTAATTTCCAATCTCAGTAAAATCAGATCTAAGTTCTCGGTGCCGTTAAAGAAAGATCTGAGGACATCTCATTACGGGTCACGTCAGAACGACCTTTCACGAACTTTGACCAACCACTGAAATGACTAACAAGAAGTCGACATCAGCCAATTAGAAAACAGCTTTCTCGAGCTTTACGGCACTCGTTTCAACCTGGCGACTTCCATCTCAGACTACGCTTGAAAAATATGTTGACACAGTTCTCATTTAAAATTTTGAAAACTGAGCAAACAAACATTCCGGAATGTCTAATATATGGTTGAGATTGTATAGCAGTGCTTCCCACATACTATGCAACGGCTCCTCTGTTTATCCCATGGAAGCGAGAGATAGACAATAATTTTGACGGAATCAGTCGTACGGGACGTAACTGTCGTTCGGAATACCCCATGTTAACGTTTTCGAGGCTGCATGATTAGAAAACACGTTCTGACTGTCACTGTCATGATCTGGTAAGCGACGCTTTGATTTGTCGGATGAAAGGTCGTTCTGACGTGACCCATAATAGGATGTCCTCAGATCTTTGTTTAGCCTTGGCGAGAACTAAGATCTGATTTCAATGAGATTGGAGTTATTTCCAACCTGTACACTTCATAAAAATTTCACTTGATCTAAAACTAACATAACAGATCTTCAAACCATGCAGCATTAAAATCATCCAAATATGACAAAAAGTATTTTTTGCCATTTTTACATGCTATATGTAATGGAAGTGTAACGATACGATGGGGGCTAAGATATCCTGTTACTATGGGTGCGATACAATTCGAATCTTGATACATGACTTTTATTTGATAAGTTGATATTCCTTCTTATTGCAGTTGAATCACAACCCTGAACCTTGATTAAAAACATGAAAATATTTAGAAAATATCTGTTTGATAACGAGTTGGCGGCACACATGCGTTGCAAATCCTGCAATCGACCGAAATCTGCATGACTGTTTACGAACCGGGTTTCGATTTCGTTGCGCAGTTTTGATTGGGCTTTGCATAGACTCGTTAGTCCAGCCAAAACGTAACTCCATAACACCAGCCTAGTTCGGCAAGGGTGGAAACTGGACTTTTCGGAAAGATGCATCAGGTGGAACCTGAGCAAACATTGAACGCCAATATAAATGAAGGACACTTGGATTCTTGAACCAATCAGACGTCAGCTTTCTAAAACCAATTGGCTTCATTTCTTTACAACATTGATTTGGAAATTTTGATCTTAACAAAAGAAATCCCCCGCCCCACAACAAAAAATATGCCGTTGTACCAAATATGCCTGGTACTCCTCATTGGGTGAAGATGCCCTCATGCCCAGAAACGACATGATGTATAAAATATCCACAACATAATCTGGTGGCTTTTATTATTTTCATTCTGAATAGGCCAATTAACTTAATTTTCAAGATATAGACTTCAGATAGGCTTGTCTGAACATTTCACCTATGTGTACCAAGAATTAGAGTAGGCTGAATAGTTAACCTGACACAACCTCCTGTGAAGGTGTCTACAGAACTTCACACGCAGAGGAAAAATATCTGATTTTAATGAGATTGCAGTAAGTGCAGTGTCTAGGCTGAGACTAGAAACAGCCATCAGATCACTGTCATAGACTCCCAGGCCTCTAAAGCTTCTATAGGGCTGTGTATTGGGGAAAACATTGTATTGCAATATATTATGATGCATGTATCTGTACTGCAATACGTATTGCGATATATTAAGAGCTGAATTTTTTTACACTGATTGTCCATGCAGATCCTAGTTTTTACATACTGGATAAAAATCACTTCCCCTTTTCTGCTGTTTTTTGTGACAGAATGTCTGTATAGATCTTAAGATAAACTATACATGGAATTTGTAATATTTTTTACTCAAAATACCACAAGACAGAAAAAATATTGCAATATGTATCGTTTGAAAAGCATATTTCAGTGTATCGGTATACCGGTAATACAGTGTAGTCCTATTATTTTGTAATGAAAAACCCTATTACTGGTCATTAAAAAGATGTAAATGGAAATTATGAAATGAAATGTGAATCTAAACATGTCAACTATAAACTTCCTTGATACTTGACAGTGACGTGACCGTTCTTGAGTGCTTATTCCAACTGCCTAGGTAATGTTAAACCAGCACTAACATTACACCTGACCTCAATATCTGACCTGTGACCTCAATATCTGACCTGTGACACAAACAAGGAACAGGGTTATACTTACTCTCAGTGTAGGCATAGTCATCTTCATCTGCCGCTCCTACACTCAGGTTGCTCACTCTCCCCGCTGATCCATCAGACCCTGCAACCAACAAGGAAGAAGGTCATTAACCAAAGGAATGGGGGGCTGGGGGCTGGGTTGAAGGGGCAAAGAGCAGTGAAATAAGACTGTATCATTGCCCACCCAAACCCCTTCAAATACATGTTACATCTTTTCATTACAACTTCCCCCTCCTCCCTCCCTAAAGTAAATGACAAGTCCCTAAATAATGTTTAAATATATATATAAACAATATTTGAAAAATAGATATGTGTCATATTTTCTGGCCTTCCTGACCCCCATAGACCCCCTAAATTGTGATAAACTTTTGCACACCACTGAAAACTGAAACAGCATTTAAGCAAAAGAATGTTTACAAATATGTACTCTTTGGCATAAATATACCAAACAGACAATATATTTAATACCTAAAGAAAACCATCAAGTTGTGAGTATAATTCATTGGCTAAAAAAATATCTTGAGCCCCGTGAAGGGAAATCTTACCCTCTATATCATTCGTTGGGGTTGGTGCAAGAGCTGGGTAGTCATCCCTCAGCTTCTTCAGCAACTCAATCAGCTTATCCTTGTTACTTAGCAACTTCTTTGATAACTTTTCACTTTTCAGAGCTTCCAGAAATTTATCAAATTCTGTATAAAGAAAGAAATTACACAACATATATTATAACTTTCATACATCATAACTGAAAAGAATTATTACGTGACATAACTTAGATAATTATTCTGTTTTCTGAGAACAAACACACGTACATGTTTAACTTGTTTCAAGAGTTTGACTGATAATAATATCATGCAGTCTGTAATGTTACAGAAACATGTAATCATTGTGGCGACCAGCAATTTTATATTGACTTAGACGACCAAGAACAAAATTATCAGCAGTACATATATCATTCAATTATCCATATCAATATCACTCATCAGTTGTTTACTGAAGTTATATCAACATGACTTTACTGTTGATGATCAGCTGTTGATAAACATACAAATTCCATAAAACAAAAGGATTATTCTCTCCCTACTCTTATTTTATTCCTGCCTGCATTATCTGTTTACTTCGTGGTACCCACTAGGAATGGGACATGAGAACTTGAAAATGTTTACAAATTCGCCTTAGGCTTGTACAGGAATGTCTTTCGCGAGTCGTTTACTTGGATAGATCGAGTGAAAGTTGATGTTTTTCCTCACCTGATAAAGCATTGCGAATGCTCTCGTGAAACTGTGCCATCTTTGATTAAATGTACCCTTCCAAAAACTTCAAAATTACCAATAAAGGTATGTTTGACAGCTCATGTCTCTCAAAGTTCGTAATTCTCTTCCGGGTCCAGCCTTTGACTTCCTGCTTGCGGTAAGGTCAAAGTTTATATTGCTGAAGCCATTTGATTGGCTGGCGAAATGTTTGGCTGTGCCGTTCTCCTCCCTGACGCATTTATCTTGAAAGAAAGTTCTTAAATACTTTATATTTCGACCCGGCTCTTATTCAAGGCAGGCGTTTATTCAAAGATTTTCAAAATAATAACTAAAACAAATAAAAAAGCTTGATATGTGCTCGTAATGATTTATGTTAGTATTTTTCATTTAGTAATTAAATACAATAAATGATAACTGATTGACGTTTAAATTCATAAAATTCACAATCTCATTAAAATCAGATCTTAGCGCTCACTACCTGTGGCGTAGTTACTTCGTACCACAAAAAACAAGTGCTTACACTTTAAAATCGTCACAAAAATGAAATAAAATATAGTTTAAAACGAATGCACAATACAGTTGTCTTCTTTCAGTCGTTTAAATTGTTATAGTTACGTGATCTTTGGTCAATTACATCTGCTGTTCCGGCTACTAGTGTGAAAACTGTCGTGGATGAGGTGACTTTTTAAAATTAGTTTTGAGGATATCTGGGCTTGATCACAATGGTCAAACTGTTCAATCTACACTAACAATGCGTTATGTCCAGAACATGGTAGGGATATCTCTCATTCGTGACCAACTCGTGTAATTCCGGGACAACTCGAATAGCCACTCGTGCCCCTCTCGTGGCCATTTTTGCGCCTGGGTTCCATTTAAGCGCAAAAGGGCATAGTTAAAAAGAATTGTGAACTCGTTGTGTAATGATTCACTTATATCCACCCCCCCCCCCCCCCCCCCCCCCCCCCCCATCATATATATTCCAGATGCTATTTAAACACATCGGGACTTACGGTATTTATACAGTATGATTGAACGCATTGAACTTTATCTGGGGTATTTATTTAGATGCAAGACATGTGTCAAATAAAAAATAAAAAATATTCCTGAGGGATTCTTTGACGGAAGTACCTGAATTCATACGTGCATTGCGGTTGCTTAGTCGTATTTTCGCACATAACATTCATGAATAGGGGGACGAATCTTCTTGCGGGTTACGGAACGGGGGCGAGTGGTGACGAATGGGATATCTCTGCGATATCTCTGTTTTTTAAGATATAGTGTATTCCTCAAAAATGGACACATTCAGTACCACCCGTGAAGATCCGGGTTAGAATTGGTCTTCGTGTAGCAACCCATGCATGCTTGTCGGAAGAGGCGACTAACGGGATCGGGTGGTCACGCTGACTTATAGTTGATGTATGTTATGGTATCCCAGTTGCGTGAATGGATGCTCATGGCGTCAATCACTGGATTGTCTGGTCCAGACCCGATTCTTTACAGATTGTTGTCATGTAGCTGGAATACCGCTGAGTGCAGCGTTAAGCGACAAACAAAACAACAAAACATACGCTACAATAGTTTCGGAAAGTGACACAACCATCTTCATCTCTCTGTTGACCTGTCTTCCACCCCTCAGTCAGCCCATTACCTCTCACTGGTTGCATGGCACATCGATGACGTCTCATAGCAACGCACACATGTCCGTAGAATTGTCTGTTTGAAGTTTTACACAGATTCCAGGTGAATATTGAATATGTCAAGATAATGCGTCACTGGCGCCCTCTCAACATAGTACGATTCACATCTTATCCCAATTGTATAGATCGATGCGCATGATGTCAATCATTGGATTGTCTGGTCCAGACTCGATTATTTACAGACCGCCGTCATATAGCTCGAATATTGCTGAATGCGGCGTAAAACAGCAAACAGTACGATTCAGTGCATAATGCACCTGTAGCATACGCTTAAAAGTAGTTTAATTCAGGAAGTATTTATAAGACAAACGCCGCGCGACTGTCTGTAAACAATCGAGTCTGGACAGATAACCTTGTGACTGACATCATGAGCATCGATCCACGCAATTGGGATACGATGACATGCATCAACCAAGTCAGCGAGCCTGACCACCCGATCCCCTTAGTCGCCTCCTGCCGGGGTCAGTATACTGTGTCTCACTAGGGTAATCATTTAAAAATGTGGCATGGTATATCAGTGGGCTAGCACTATAAAATCGCCATTAGTCCGGACCATAACAAGCATCCAGACACATACACCTGCAAGCACGTTGCGATAAAAGTACAGTAATCTTGAACGCGACGTTAAACCCCATTTCACCTCGCCTCACCCCCACGACAGGGGACACCAAGAATGAGCTGCTCACAAAAAAAACAATGCAGGGAATCACCGCATGATGACCAACGCATTAACCAATGCACTAACCATAGGTTGCACGTTCCATTACGCGAAGTGAAGAGTTGTGTCCCTTAGTTGGCCCATTTCGAATTCTTCACATACCAACAGTGTAGGATTCTTCGGTTTGGGCCAGGACACAACTCTTTAGGTATTAGTATTAGAGGTATTTATTTCAACTTTAGCATTGTGCGTTTGCGTACATATTTTGTCAACGGAAACAGCCAGAAGGATCTTACTAACGTTTATCTGATTTCACAGCATGGCTGTAAAATGTGAATACAGGGTTTCATAGCGCAATAAAATAACCAAATAATAGTGAGTGAGTGAGCTGGGTAAAGGCCAAATGATTTCCTCTGATCCATTTCTGGTCGACGAGGGGGTTAAATTTGATCGGGTGGTCAGGCTCTGACTTGGCTGTGCCATTGTGACTGCTTGCGTGGATCGCAAGCAGGACCTTCACGCCGGATTATCCAGAGTGCCTTCAAAAAGGCTTTCTGGAAGGGGTTGCGACTCTTCCTGTTGGCGCGAGTCAACCGAGGTATAATAGATATAAGATAGATAAATAGTTTATTTCTGGAGCTAGCAATATACTCACAACAATACAAAAACAATGTTACATACAGATAAGAGTATGATGCCCATCAAGCTCATGGCCACATACAGTAACCTACGGTTATAACGAACTCAACAGGACCAATAATTGTAGTTCGTAATAACCGTAGTTCGTTATAAGCATATATACAGCATTTTTCAACATATTTCCCGGGACTAAAACATAACTTCGTTTGATCGGTCAGTTCGTTATAAACGTAGTTTACTGTATATACAATTTGAACACATTTGAACTGTATCATCATCCAGCTGTATCCACATTTTAGAGTTCTATTTACAAGGCTTCCTTTGTACATTATATATAAAGTGAAAGCTAAGAGGTGTTGTAAAGCATTGTAAGATAAAATTAATACAACTTCTCAGTGCTGTCCAATGAATGAATGAATAAAAACTAAGTTTTTCTCGATGTACACTGTTACGTTTGCAACGTTGATCTGAAGAGAAGAAGCTGTCAAGTAAGAAGTGGGCTTTATCTTCTATCACAGTTTGAAGCTTCGATTCAGCGCAGAACTTGCATATTCTGTCATTCAGCAGTACTACATAGTTGTTGGGGGGGGGGGGGGGGGGGGTTGGCGGTCGGGTTAAAGCGTTCGCTCGTCACGCCGAAGACTCGGGTTCGATTCCGACATGGGTAAAATGTGTGAAGCCCACTTGTGGTGTCTCCCGCCGTGATATTTGCTTGAATAGTGCTAAAAGCGGCGCAAAACCATCCTCAATCACTCACTTTACTGGGTGGAATTAGGTTCAATAATAAAGGCCTTGGGGGAGTATAAATGAAACATATTCCTGAACATAAGCTGAAAGATCAGATTATTCGCACCTATCTGCCGTCTAAATATATATAACGCTCTATAAGACAATGGGATGGTCGTCACCTTCCCGGGACCAAATTCAGGAACTTAAGGAATTATTACCAAAGGTTTCGGGACAGAGGACCCTCCAAACAGGGAAGTGTAATTCACCCTGCTCTTACGAAGGGACCTGTTTTGACCCTTTGCAGATATCTTTAGATAGCTAGTTTAGTCGGCCCTCTCCAGTCTTGTTATCCAGACTACACAGAGGGGTTTCATTCTGAATGCAGCATATTGGCGTCATCCTAGGAATTCTCTTCTGTTTTTGTCAATTCAAGCAACTTCTGACATAAATGTATTTGTCAAACTGTTTAATAAAGCGATCTTAGGGCTAGGATGATCGCACTTCCCATACTTCAGCACAGACTTGCGATCCTCGGAGCGTTATGCCTCCTTTGTGGAACATATATCTGGTGCAAATGGTGGAAGTACCAGTGCAGACTTATTTTGTGCTTTGGGTAATGATATCATCTTGTATTCTGAAACCGAATATGAAATGGGCAAAATTTTCAAGATTACACAGTAACCCCTAGAAAGAATAAAAGAATATTGCTTTACGCTGCACCAGCCAACAGAAAGCAGCAAACTAATACCAAATGGAGGGTAGATACTTGTTGAATAAAATATTGACCCAAAGACATTTGGATTATCAAATGAGTAATATCTCATGGTATACAAGAGAATTAATACAGCACAAGCAATAATCATGCTTACTCCTCTTTCCCTTAAAGAGCACAAGGTAATAACGAACGAGTTGAAATGTAAATATGTTTTGTCTTAAATATCCTTTCAATACAACTGTGCCTGTAGTGAAAGTGACAAAGACAGATTATTATTTTTATTTCTTGTTGACGTCGAAAACATGTGCGGGAACAAACAAGTAGAATATAACAGATACTTTTCTGCATTATAGGGGAAGTTAATGTAGAATCGTAGTTGACAGTGTGTGTAAGACTGGCAGAATCTGGTTAAACAAGGTGTAGGGTTATGTAATATACAAGGCACCGTGTACATGATGGTCTCAATACTGATAATATCACCCTTAGGTTATATGCTGCTGCTGATACAACAGTATTCAAGGATAAGTGGAAAAAAGGTCAAACATTTATATAATAGTCATGAAACCACTGTTACCATTTAGAACAAACAACCAGTGCATGTATACAAGCTGCCTGAACAATCCCCACACTGCCCCTCTCCATCGCTGCCCATCTCTACGCTCACCCCCCACCCACCCCAATTTACCAAATGACACACCCTAACACCCTACCCCCCCCCCCCCCCTTAAAAATCAAATAAATAATAAGAAAAATAAATAAATTTAGAACAAATTAAAAAAAATTGAAAACAAAATATACAAAAAAAACCACAAAAAAACCTCAACACAAACCCCTCAACATAACATCTCAAATGTTCTCATGTGCCACAAAACAAGCGGTCTTCTTTTCACTATTTCTTCACAAATGATTGACTTCTTTTCACTATTTCTTCACAAATGATTGCAGAAGGTCAATGGGCAGAGGGAAAATGATTGTCGAGTTCTTCTCAGCCGAGATGGTATTAAGCGTCTGCAGATAACGCAACTGCAAAGCCGCGGGAGATTCTGAGATGACATCAGCAGCTTCCTTCAGAGCCCGGGAAGCCTTCTGTTCTCCTTCAGCGGCAATGACCTGAAAGACGGAAGGTCAAGGTTGGTTGATTTCACGAGGCCGAGGTCAACAATGAGAAAGGTCATGGTGTACTCTTTGTCTTAGTTCAAAATAAAATCTTCACTAAGAATGCTTCCTCTTCGCATAAATGTTTGACTGACAATAAATGTGACAGGTAAGTTACGAGTTGTAGTGATTTTTAAGTTGGCTAAAACACGTGTTTCGTAATAAAATCACTCTCCCTAAAACCAGGATTTAACATGTTTTCATTGATATATTCCTTGAATGCTATGATTAATAAATCTGTATCAACATTATTTGTACCAAACCTTATCCTAGCCCCGATGCAAAGACTACTTTCTCACAAAAAGCGAGCAAATGCGATAAAAGAGTTATCTACCTTGGCCCGTGCATCTCGTGAAGCTTCTGCCTCTGCAGCCATGGCTCTCTGGAGCTGGAGTGGCAGTCGCACGTCCTTACTGCAAAATATAAAGTTGTAAATATAAGCTACGAAAACATCTTGGAATGAGCTTATATAAGAATATCATTTAACAAATTCAGACACACTCATAATGCTAGCACACTGCGTCTGATACTTGTCTGTATGCATTTCTTTTCGAAGAACATTAATTATTATTAAGAGTTTTAAATTCAATCACACTGGTAGACCACACGTATTTTTTAAAGATGTGTTCGTTGTTTAACGCCACCCTCTGTAATATTCCAGCTGTATGTAAATGTATGTTTGTAAATAATCAAGCCTGGACCATAAAATCTAGTGATTGACAGGGATGATTCATAATTTCATCTCATGGGGTTATCGTAATACCCCTGTGAGTGAGTGAATGAGTGAGTGAGTATGGTTTTACGCCGCTTTTAGCAATATTCCAGCAATATCACGGCGGGGGACACCAGAAATGGGCTTCACACATTGTACCCATGTCGGGATTCGAACCCAGGTCTTCGGCGTGACGAGCGAACGCTTTAACCACTAGGCTACCCGACCGCCCCAATACCCCTGTGAAGATCCGAGTTAGAATTGGTCTTCAACAACACGTGCTTGTAATCGGAGCAGGTGTCAGACTTGGTTGATGCATGTCACCGTATCCCAATTGCGTAGATCAGTGCTCATGTCAGTCGTCGCTATATGGCTGAAATAATGCCGATGCGACGTTAAATTTTGACTCACCCACTCACTCATTTCAGTTTCTGGATTGTCTGGTCCAGACTCGATTATTTACAGTTGTTAAATAACAGACAATAATACAACACGGCTACAAATGGTATTGAGTGAACATTTGCGAGATTTTGTGAGGATGTTACTTACACTTCTACTCTCTCCACCTTCACACCCCATGGGTCTGTGGCTTCATCTAGGGACATCTATGGGACGATAAAGATGATATAATTTGAGAATAGCATATATCATACTTAAACAACATAGACGTTAAAGATGGTACTTGTTGTTTCCCTGCCTGGTCCTCGGCATCTAGGGGATAAAACAAAGGCTGGTTGGCTCGGAACCAGTATACTGTGTCTGAGAGGGGTATCCATGTTAAACTGCGGCATGGTATCTCAGTGGGTTAGAACCATAAAACCGGAATTTGTCCGGACTAGTACAAGCACAGGCACGCACGCACGCACGCACGCACGCACGCACGCACGCATGCACACGTCGCTGTATTAGTACTTTAATCTTAAGCCCGATGTTAAACCCCATTCACCTCACATCAAACAATATTCACAGGTGATACTCAAAGCAGTTTCTAATTGCGCATTTACAAAACAGATAAATATTTCCTTGTCTTCTTTTATTATCCAAAATAAATAATAAGGGTTTTTTTTACCAAAATCACTGATTTATACTTTTGCCAACACAACTCTAAGATTTACCTTATTTCATTTTGAGATGTTTACACAACTTACAAAAGAAATCTTTGAACTTTAACCAATACATGAGAGACAAATTTCGGAATGAATGGATGGATGGATGGATGGATGGATGGACAGATATCCAACTTACCTGCATACTCTGACTGATAGTTTCTCTCTCTGACAAAATCTCGGCCAGACTTTTGGTTCCAAGGACGTTCCTGAGTGTTGTGGCTGCCAACAGTCTCGTGGATCGGCTTGAGTCTTCCACGTTGGTGATGGAAGCGGTGGCGTTGCTCGTACGGTAGTAGACCACAGCGTCCACGGCTACCGTCACAGAGTCACGCGTCAACACCTATAAGAGACAGTAAGTGAGTGAGTGAGGTGTTTTGTTTGTTTGTTGTTTAACGCCGCGCTCGGCAATATTCCAGCTATATGACGGCGGTCTGAAAATAACCGACAATTCAGTGATTGGCATCATGAGCATCGATCTACGCAACTGGGATAACATGCATCAACCAAGTCAGCGAGCATGGCAACCGGACCACGTTAATCGCCTTTTATGACAAGCACAGTCGCCCTTTACGGCAAGCATGGGTTGCTGAAGACCTATTCTTACCGGTCTGTTCAGTGAGGTGAGGTGTAACAATGTCCATACCACGAGGGAGGGTTACCATTGTCGACCGCTCCCGTGGTCTTGTGGATAGACGGTCTGCACGGAGAGTGTTGGGGATCGAGCCACCGACCTATCCGTGTAGACCCTCTATCCACAAGACCACGAGAGCGGAAGGTCCCAACGACAAACCTAATTACGTTGAAAGATGTTACTTGTTGATAAGATGTCCCTTGCTTCACCTCGCTTCCATTGGAGCCGACTACATTTAGGACAGATGGGTCACAACATGTGACCTGGCTTATTGTGTGTGAACGTGCACGACGCCTTGAATCCTTTTTTCATCTAGCACTGGTTCTCCTGGTTTACAGGCCGCGATGATAGTGAAATATTACTGACAACGTTGCGTATGACACTCACCTCCTGGGGCGGCACATCGAACGATATAGTTCTCAGATCCACTTTGGTGAAAGAATCCATGCACGGGATTATGAAGAACAAACCTGCCCAACAGAACATCATCATCATCACCATCATCATCATCATTATCATCATCGTCGTCGTCGTCATTATCATCGTCGTCGTCGTCATTATATATTTATGCTTTCAGTATCAGGGTACAAGTTTCATTTTTCAAGACCTCAAACCAAGTCTTCTTTTTTTATTTTACACTAATATACACATTTCTTTAAAAAATAATATATGTATATGCATGTTATGTTATTCAGACTATTAGAAATCCTTGTATCACTTTTTTTTCACCATCAGAAAAGATTCAGCAAAGGAAGCCGACCGCATGCACTCCATAAGCACTCTATAGGGCTTATCACATAATACGGCGAGTGAAATCGACATATTGCGATGTTTTAAATACATATTTCTCATCATTTCCCCTTTTCCTTCGTGTATTCAATTTACACATCGAGAAGGAAGCCTTCCAATTTGACAAATTGTTTGCTTCACAAAAATCTATTAGTGTAATTTTTTTGTTTGATTTCTTGGTGATGGATTGGATGCCATTGTGTAACCAATGAACCATCCGTCACTACTCGTATAGTTTCATCCTAACCAAAATGCCCTGTTTCACAATAACTACCTTATTTGTTAAAAGACAGTCAACTGATTGACTCAAAAAGGCAATTAAATGGTTGGTTTCAAGGTAGATGTCAGGGGCAGACTTTTTGACATTCCGGGGGAGTCTGGGATTTTATCGGAAAAAATATTTTTTCCCCGAAAAGTCTTGAAAATTGGTAGGAATAAAAAAGAAATTGGCAATGCGTGTTTTAGAAAAAAGAATTGTCTCATAGTTATAAATAGCTGAAAAAATAAGCGATCCCGGCTTTACAAAATACCAGCACACTCCCCCACCCACCCCAGAATTCCAGATGATCAATTGGTTTAACTAACTTGATTTCATGTATGGCGAACACAGCGTTGGTTTCCAGGAAATAAAATGGTTCGTGATCAGATCGATTATAGATATTCCAATGGTTAGTTGGAAGATGAAATGATTGTACTTACCCGGCCCCTTGGCGCCTCCGGGGACCAGACGACCCAGTCGAAATATGACCGCCCTCTCATATTCCTGCACCACCTGCAACGTAGGGAGGAAGAGTGTTGGTTTAACTCAGTTTTACAGCAGTTCACTCATTGTGAGAGGTCACGGGTAGCCCGGTCGTATCAGACGCCGCAAATCGCTGTGCAGAGTTGCGTCCCTTGGGCACGCCAGAAACCTATGATTGTGGGTTCGAATCCCGGTTCGCCCCGATTATGTTTCTAGGTTTGTCAGCACCATACCCGTGCTCGTGGGTTTCACCGAAGTGGTAAACGTCTAAGACCTCCATCACTTGGGGCTTTCCTCCCACATTAAGCTGACACGCCGCGATATAACTGGAAAATTGTTAAAAGCGGCGTTAAACCCGACTCACTCTCTCACTCGTGGGTTCCACTGAGGTGAACGTCTGAGACTTGCATCACTTCGGGCGTTCCTCCCACATTTAGCTGATTACAGGCATACTCTTCACAGCGGCGTTAAACCTAAATAACTCACTTATTGTAAGGCCATGATTTGTTCTGGGCAGGTGAACCCGATAGTCGCCTGTTTCATAAAGCGATCTTAGCGCTACGGCTGAAGTAACTCTATATCAGAGAATGGGAGTTACGACAATCGTAGCACTAAGACCCCAATGTCACATCAGAATAAATAATCGCAAGTGATACCGTGTCATTTTATTGGTTAACCAAGCAATTTCGTTTGCGTTTGTTTCCTTAAACTGAAATAAAAATAGGCCACGCCCACTAACGGACTACTCTCTCTTGAGAGGGCTTGTGTTCCATTATTGCGCTGAACGATGTCACTGATTTCGTACATTTGTCACCACTCGCCCCTTTCCGTAACCTGCGAGAAGACTCGCACCTCTCATTCGTGACCAACTCGTGTTATTGCGGGACAACCGAATAGCTCTTCTTGCAGGTTACGGAAAGGGGCGAGTGGTGACGAATGTCGCACCTCTATCGATGAATGTTCTTTGCGAAAATACGACAAACCAAATCAAGTTCTTCGTCAAAGAATCCCTCAGAATTACTTTTTGATCTTACATATGTCTTGCATCTAAAAATATACCCAAGACACAGTTAAATGTGTTCAATCATACTGTATTATTCCGCATGTCCCGATGTGCTTTAAATTGCATCTGCAATATATACAATATATGGGGAAATATATGTGAACCATTACGCAACGAGTTGACAATTGTTTTAGGTATGCCCGTCTGCGCTAAGACGGAACCCGGTCGCACAAATGTTCACGAGAGGGGCACGAGTCGCTATTCTGCTTGATCTGTAAATATATGTGTGGTCGCACCACCATCGTCTCTCATTTACAGGACGCCGTGATATAGCTGGGATATTTTCGATTGTCATTCTGGAACATTCACCTACTCAAAACACACATACACACATGCGCGCACGCGCAGACTTAAATGTATTTTATCATACATAAATGGATAGTGAAATCGATGCGATAAACCCATCCAATAAATATGCAAATGAGGTAACCAAGCACGGACTACATTTAAGCTCCATACGTCGCTTGATCAATAAATTATTGTCTGATGTTCCAAATAGGTTATAGCGAATAGCGGTTTTCCTCTGTGCGTGTGTGTGTGTGTGTGCTGTAAATCATTTGGCACTATATGATAAACGGAGCGGATCACGTTTTGTATTCATACGCGGTTCATAATGTTACTTCATTGAGGAAAAATGCGAACAGTAAACTACGGTTATAACGAACTCGAAGGGACCACTCATTTTAGTTCGTAATAACCGTAGTTCGTTATAAGCATACATACAGCATTTATACAACAAATGGTCGGGACTAAAAACAAGTTCGTTATATCGGTCAGTTCGTTATAAGCGTGTTCGTTACAAACGTAGTTTACTATATTAAACTTTCAAACAATTATTTTAAGTATGACTTTATATGATAAAAAGATTATTATCCTCATGTGTTTCCTAACTGTTAATCGTAAATATATATCAGAAAATATACTACGTATTATGCGCACGATACAATTTCTATTCCTAAAATGTGAAAAAGTATACAAACATAAACTTGGCTGATAATCTGTATATCACGAAAACCAACAAGTAAAGTCAAACTATGGCATACCGTAAATTAAAGTTATGAAGTAGTAAAAAAAGGGTCTTGTTCATGCGGAGGATCAGATAAGATAAATACTTCGCGAGGATGTTTACAGACTGATTAGATATTCACCATTTGGTCTTTATTCTGGAAAGTTTGCAGTGATCATCTTTTTTCGTAATTTATGAGTAAGATGACATAAAACACATATTTAGTTCAAAGTATAAACTTACACCAAATGACGACCAGATACCAACCTATTGTTCTCTTTAGCTCACAACTGCAGAAGTAACGGACATCAATCGTGTGTAAACTGTCATTGTGTACCGTATCTGTATGTTTGCACCAGTTTCTTCAGAACACGTGGACAGGTGAGATCAGTTCTGATTGATCAGTTCACTAATTAACACCAGTCCATAAGGACTACCACTGAGATATTCTCCTGGTAAATTTACACTGGAGGTAGACGACGCCTAATGATCGTCACAACTCCACAAAACAATCACACAAATAACAAGAAAGTAATCAGTTTCCCCAATCAGTGAAGAGTTCAATAACTTCGCTTTGTTCACTGGGAAGTGAGGGTGTGTTTGTGCATTTTCTGTGTATTGCGTTTCTTTGATTCGTTAAAAAAAAAAAATTGAACATTGTTTTATATATTTACATTAGTGTTGAAGGACACGCATATTTGGTAATGCTGTTGTTGTGGTAACATCGATGGGTAGTATGCACGTGGCAGTACCGTTCTGGGTGTCGCTGTACAAAACAACCACAGCGCTACGACTGGCGTAAGTCTCTGCTAAGGTGTGGGAGTAACGATCACTTTAGCTTTAAGATCGCTTTGAACAACGACACCTTGGTAACTTTACAAAGCTGGTGCGTGGTATGCAGGCGGTGGTACTGTTGTTACCGTATTCTAAGGGACCGACCATTTGTTATTCGGGGTGGGTTTGGTGGGGGGGTTCCTGGGATGACAACCCCCCCCCCCCGCACACACCCAGAGTATAAAACGGTCGGACCCTTACACTCCTATCGGTACTATGTAGATGTTGTCCCAGCCATCCCTATATGCACAAAGAGGCTCTGCATATTTACTAGGGTGAGTGAGTATGGTTTTACGCCGCTTTTAGCAATATTCCAGCAATACCACGGCGGGGGACACCAGAAATGGGCTTCACACAATGTACCCATGTCGGGAATCGAACCCGGGTCTTCGGCGTGACGAGCGAACGCTTTAACCACTAGACTGTCACGTGTTTGGCAGTAACGTTCTACGGGTAAATATCGAAGGTATATTCAAATATATAACCATATGAAATTATTGATTAATTGTGTCCACCAAACAAAGATATTTCACACCATACGCCTCTAAGCGATAATCAATATTTCCCGTTTTGTTGTAACCTTTATCAATAACCAATATGGATTCTCAGAGAAATCAATGGTAATTGTAACGTGAGCGATCACTTCCCGTCAGTGTAATTCCAGCGAGATTCCCGTGAAGATCCGGGTTATAATTGGTCCCCAGCAACCCACCTTGTCTCCATCGTGAAGATCCGGGTTATAATTGGTCCCCAGCAACCCACCTTGTCTCCATCGTGAAGATCCGGGTTAGGACTGGTCACCAGCAACCGATGTTTGTCGTAATAGGCGACTAACGGCATCGGGGAGTCAGGCTCGCTGACTTGGTTGATGCATGTCATTGATCCCAAATGCGTGGATCGATGCTCATGATATTAATCACTGGATTGTCGGTTATATCCCATTAGTTACACGTCCCATTTGCAACACACCTCTATAATCCCAGTTGTTACAGTTTGGGAGGAGGAAAGGATTAATTAAGACAGCACCTACTGAGTAATGGATCAGCCCTAAATGGAGTTCCACATAGACCAAGGCAAAGATACTAATTACCAAGCCCGAGTGGTATTGTGAAATGTTATGATCAGACAAAAAGGCAACTAATCTGTGTTGAATTTAGTTTATCTGTCTTACAACAATATTTATGAAACAATAAGATATTATTAGGTTAATTAATTGTGAATGTTTTATTGTATATTACTAGATTATTTGAGATGAACTGGGCTGACTTTCGAAGCTAGATTTCCCCTTCATCTTTGGAACCATCACCAGAAAACAGGACCTCGCCCAAACAACGATCTTCAGGGTTTTCATAACAGACTGAATCGAGAACTACCCCACGACCATCCAAATATTTACCGCTTCATTGAAGTTTTTTTCAGAGAATCGAGAGGGTTGACCGCGCGAAGATGGCCCAGATCGATTTCGGAGCACCCCCACCGCAAGAGTGTCTACAGAGAGTCTGAAAACCGTCTGAGGAGATTGAAAGATTAGCTTCACCAGGGACTGAAGACTCCACTCCAGTTCCTGGATGCTGCCGGCTTCTATGCAGGGTTGGAGTAGGCCAGGGACAATTCAAACATACAGTGCTATTGCTACTGTGCTACACAAAGACTGATATACATTGTTAATGTTTCTACCAGTTTTAATTAAGATTTTTTAATATATGTATATGTTTATTTTTCTACATTATCTTATGTTCCTTATATATAAGTTCACTCATGTAGATCACTTTTCTAATGGATCACTCCATTTTAATACTTAGGTAAATTAGGGTAGACCAATCAGTGCATTCAGCCATGACCTATGTTGTTTTAAGGTGTATGACAAATGGGACGTATAACCAATGGGAGGTTACCGGATTCTCTGGTTCAGACTCGAGTATTTACAGACCGCCGTCATATAGCTGGACTATTGCTGAGTGCGGCGTAAAACAACCAACCAACCAACCAACCAACCCATTAAGGAACACGTGTCAGTATGGTGTTGGAATATCCCTATTGGGGCAAACCAGGCCCTACTGGCCACGGAAGGGGACAAGCGGGACAGGCTAACCCTTTTCGCAAACAACTGCTGTCATCACTAATTTTTAGTGATCCATTCAAATAATTGTCCTCCTAGTTTGCGTTTTCCGCCCCATGGAATCTGTTTTGGTGGATAATCGAGACTGGCCATTCTCTGTCAATTAGATAAGTTTTCAACCATTGCTGCAAATCCAGATAGTTTTTTATTAAACCCATGAGCCCGAATAAAGAAAAAGAAAAGACAATGGCCGTGCAATAATGAACCTTTTGTGGCAGTCAATTTACTTTTTGTCAGTCTGAAACATAATTATTATTTTCAAGTAATCCTTGGGATAACTTTTCTCATAGATAATCCACCAGCATATGGTCGGTACCTTAGTGGAACCAACAAGCCTATGTATGGAGTTACACCATGGATCATTATCAAGGCGAATCTGAGTTCGAACCTAGGGTCCAGGAATCCAAGGGACGCAACTGCGCACGGCATATTGTGGCGCCTCAGACCACTAGGGCGTTGAATCTGATGTGACGGTAAGATTAGTCTTACACGGTAAGATTAGTCTTACACCATATTATGGAAGCCTCTCAGGGCCATTTGTTGTTTTCTTTTTTTTTATCTTGGAATTTCAAGATGTTATGTTGAAATTTCAAGATGCATACTAAGTTGAAATTTCAAGATAATGATCTTGAAATGTCAAGATTATAAGTTGAAACTATATTTGAAATTTCATCTTATAATCTTGAAATTTCAAGATACTGTGTTGAAATTTCAACACAGTAAGTTGAAATTTTAAGATTCGTCAGTTGAAAATTCAAGAAAAATTAAATTGAAATTTTAAAATAATAAGTTGAAACTTTAAAACTTTAGCTTGAAATTTCAAGATTATAAGTTGAAATTTGAAGATACTAAGTTGAAATGTCGAGATACATAAGTTGAAAATTCAAGAAAATGACCTTGAAAATTCAAGGTAATAAGTTGAAATTCCAAGATACTAAACTTGAAACTTTAAGACTTTAACTTGAAATTTCATCTTATTATCTTGACATTTTAAGATACTATGTTGCAATTTCAAGATGATATGTTGAATTTCAAGATGATATGTCGAAATTTCAAGATACTTACTTGAAATTTCAACTAAGTAACTTGAAATTTCAACATAGCATCTTGAAATGTTAAGTTAGTAAAGAAATAAACAAATGGCCCTGAACGGCTTGTGTACCACATGGCCTTGTATAGGCGATCTTCTTACCTTAATGGCTACACAGAGGGATAAGGGAAATGTGATGAGCATGCAGAAGAGGGAGAGGCCGTACAGGATGTATCCACAGCACCCAATACCGCTGTCACTATCATTTTCTGAAACAAATAACAATAATGTTTGGAAGCTGTTAAGATTTGATATTTGATAAAAAACTGCTGACAGCTTAGTTCGGGTTAGGCATTTTAGTGGTTTCAGACATTCAAATGGATACAGGCTTGCTTGCTTGGTTGGTTGGTTTGATGTTTAAGGCCGCACTCAGCAATATTCCAGCTATACGACGGCGGTCTGTAAAACATCGAGTCTGGACCAGACAATTCAGTGATAAATATCATGTGCATCGATCCGAGCTATACGGATCGATGAAATGCATCAACCAAGTCAGCGAGTCTGACCATCTGATCCCGTTAGATTTAGGCATTTAAGTGGGTTAAGGCAATTAGTTGGATTCAGGCATTTAAGCAATCTCATTAAAATCAGGTCTTAGTTCAAAGATCTGAGGACATCCAATTACGGGTCACGTCAGAACGATCTTTCATCCAGATCATGAAAGTGACATCCAGAATGTGTTTTCTAATCATGCAACCTCGAAAATGTTAACATGCGGTATTCCGATTGGTTTGGTTGGTTTGTTGTTTAGCGCCGCACTCAGCATTATCCCAGCTATATGACGGCGGTCTGTAAATAATCGAGTCTGGACCAGACAATCCAGTGATTAATATCATGAGCATCAATCCACGCAATTGGGATTGATGACGTGCATCAACCAAGTCAGCGAGCCTGACCACCCGATCCCGTTAGTCGCCTTTTACGACAAGCATAGTCGCCTTTTACGGCATGGGGTATTCCGAACGACAGCTACGACCCGTACCACTGATTCCGTCAGAATTTTCGTCCATATCTCTCTTCCGTGGGATAAACATTTGAGTTGGTCATTTCAGTGGTCTGTCAAAGTTCGCGAAAGGTCGTTCTAACGTGACCCGTAATTGGAAGTCCTGAGATCTTTGTTTATCGGCAGCGAGAACATAGATCTGATTTTAATGAAATGGGCATTTAAGTGGATTCAGGCAGTAAAAGTGGTTGAAGCAGTTAGTTGGGTTTAGTCTGTTTTGTCTACACAAACCAAAGGTCAAAATAGCCTTCTATGACTGTAATCATTTTCTTGATACGTTGTCTATGTGCTGTTTCGTCTGAAGATTTACTTCAATGAAGCTGAAAGGTTTGATTTAGTTTTGCTTTATATAACTTGTGTGTGATTATGTTGTCACGTATCTCAACACCAGTTGCGTTTGATTATTAAACCCGAATCAACCGAGGTTACCACATTTCTGGCAGCCAGGGTTGCCTAGATTCAACCTGAGTTAACCAGTGTTAATGAAGTGAGTGAGTGAGTATGGTTTTACGCCGCTTTTAGCAATATTCCAGCAATATCACGGCGGGGGACACCAGAAATGGGCTTCACACATTGTACCCATGTCGGGAATCGAACCCGGGTCTTCGGCGTGACGAGCGAACGCTTTAACCACTAGGCTACCCGACCGCCCCAGTGTTAATGAAGGATAACTTAGTATACTGAATAAAACACATACAATGCAACCTTAGATGCAATACAAAATGCACGTGTATTGCTTGCTTGTTGTTTAACGGTGCACTCAGCAATGTTCCAGCTATACAAGGGCGGTCTGTAAATAATCTGGACTGGACCAGACAGTCCAGTGATTGACATCATGAGCAACGATCTACGCATTTGGGATGCGATGACATGCATCAACAAGACAGCGGGCCTGACCACCCGATCCCTTTAGTCGCCTCTTACAAGCGTAGTCGCCTTTTACAGCAAGCATGGGTTGCTATTCTAACCCGGATCTTCACGGGTAATGTGTATTGCTATAACAAAAACTAGCAGAGTTTTTTCATTGCTTGATAAAGCTGCCAATTGTACTTTTTCTATTGTATGCATATAAACCATTTTATACAAAACATAAAAAAAATTAAAGATTATAACATCAAACTATATGCAAGATGCATTAGTAATTCCAAAGTATATATATCAACAATCGAAAGTTAAATTTCCCAGAAATTTCCATATCACAATACACATATACTATAAACACCTAGCTAATTCTGTTTACTTTTATTCATGATTGAAACAATAAATAAAACAAATTTTCTTCACCGATGACGTCACCTGGAGGGCGCTAACCAGATTACCGCGCCCCAGGAGTTCAGTTGCTATGGGCAACTTAAATCAACCGAAGTATCATGTAAATCAGATAGCGTGAGCTAACAATGGTCAACCAAGGTAAAGGGCAACACGGGTTAGCCTGGATCGACCGGGGTTTTCAAGTCGTTCGCAAGCACGCTTGAGCACAGTCATCCATCATCAATCATTGGAGACCGCAATCATAATGTGTTGCACAGAAAAAAAACCGATTTGATGTTGCAAAGAACAAACCCATTGATTTGTCGCACAGAAAGAGCCTCGGGTTTCAAAGATTTCATTTGAGAGGTGTCTATTAATCTGGTACAATGACCCATGTTAACCATCGCACAAATACCTGTTAATTACCCACCACCCCGTTGTCCCACGTGGCACCCCCAACCTACCCCGTTGTGTGTGTTGACCCGTGAAGATCCGGGGTAGAATAGATCTTCAGCAACCCATGCTAGCTGTTACAGGCAACTATGCTTGTCGTAAGAGGCGACACATGGGATCGGGTGGTCAGGCTCGCTGACTTGGTTGATGCATGTCATCGTATCCCAATTGCGCGGATCGATGCTTATGATGTGACATGTCAATCACTGGATTGTCTGGTCCAGACTCGATTATTTACAGTCCGCCGTCACATAGCCGGAATACTGCCGAGTGCGGCGTTAAACAACAAACAAACAGACGTTGTGTGTGTAGGTGCATATTGCTCAGGGCGTTAAAAATACACTCACAATTATAGCAAAACAACAAAACTATTGCCTCCAGTTATTGTAAAACCACGGATGTCACAGATGTGGTACAACACACCAGCATGCCCGACCAGCTGGTGCTAGACAGGCAGACACTATGTCAATATGGAACATGGTGGTGTACCGTCGTGGATTGATATAGTAAATACAATATCAATACACCATGTACCTGTATCCAAACACCTTCGTTAGACAGGCGGAAACCTATTTTTATATGAAACATGGTAGTGTACTGTCGTGGATTGTTATAGTAAATACAATATGTCTTTTATTTACAAGTGACACCTCTATTTACAAGTATCCACGAACGCCTTTAGCTAGACAAACACCTTTTTATATGAAACATGGTGGTTTACTGTCGTGGATTGATATAGTAAATGCAATATGTAATTTGGTTACAATTGACACCTCTATTTACAAGTATCCTCGAACGCCTTGGGGTGGACAGGCAGGCACTTAATGTTTATGTGAAACATGGTGGTTTACTGTCGTGGATTGTTATTGTAAATACAATATGTCATTATTTGTACAATTAACACCTCTATTTACAAGTATCCCCGAACGCCTTGAGCTAGACAGATACCGTGTTTATATAAAACATCGTGGTTTACTGTCGTGGATTGTTATAGTAAATACAACATGTAAGTTATTTACAATTGACACCTCTATTTACAAGTATCCCCGAACGCCTTGAGCTAGACAGACACCGTGTTTATATGAAACATAGCCGTTTACTGTCGTGGATTGTTATAGTAAATACAACATGTAATTTATTTACAAATATTTTTTTAATTTGACGTTTACACGATATATGGCTTTTCCATTGGACGAGAGGTCGGTCACATGACCGCGAAGTTGACTTTCATAAGTGTATGAACGACACAATTTGACGTTCATACGTTTTTCATGAGACCGTGTTCATTTAGAACCTTTAATCTTGGTCTCAGCATTTCAGTATACATTGAGAAACGTAAGAGAGCTTGATTGCATGATTGTTCACGAATTTCCTCGCTACGTCCTAATGAACAAACGAAAAAACTATCGTCAGTATCGACTCGATCTGTGTCTAGGCTGACAGTGACCGTCTCCAGCAATCTACGAATTTACCTTGGTGTCTGTTTGACGCATCTTTAATCACCTTTCAATAATCGGTCAGTTGATCAATGATGACTAACACATGTAACCGCCACAGGTTCATTAACAACTTCGGAAATCCTCCCGGCACGTTTATCGTGTCGGCCATTTTGACGTCTTGTACTTGATGTAAATGTATTACGACGCGCTGTCATTGTGACTGACTTACTGGGGTAGTTCATTACAGACCTTTCTCATCTAATGCGGATATTATATGAACACATGTGTTGCGTAAGATGTTTCTGAAGAGCAAGTTCTGCATCCATACGCTCATGTCACCTCTGTTTGGGGAACTATTTTATTCCACGATTTAGCTGGTTGTTGTTTGGCTGTCAGTGTAAACATGAAGTCACACGTACTAAATAAAATTGTGTTTAGATCTTGGCCTACGTCCTATGAGGAAAGAAATTGTGATACAAAATTATAAGAATTGACTTTCACTTTGTGTGAGTTCATTGGAGTATGAACCTTCATAGAGTGAGGGCCAAACATTGTATGAACGTCGTTGCAAGCTCCGACGTTTATACAGTTTGGCCCTCACTCTATGCAGGTTCATACTCCAATGAACTCACACAAAGTGAAGGTCAATTCTTAATTGACACCTCCATTTACAAGTATCCTCGAACGCCTTGAGCTAGACAGACACCATGTTTATATGAAATATCGTGGTTTACTGTCGTGGATAGATATAATAAATACAACATGAAATTTATTTACAATTGACACCTCTATTTACAAGTATCCACGAACACCTTGGGGTAGGCAGGTAGACACCTATGTTTATATGAAGCATCGTGGTTTACTGTCGTGGAATGATATAGTAAATACCATATGTCATTCATTTACAATTGACACCCCTATTTACAAGAACGCCTTTAGCTAGACAAACACCGTGTTTATATGAAACATAGTGGTTTACTGTCGTGGATAGATATAGTAAATACAATATGTCATTATTTTTACAATTAACACCCCTATTTACAAGTATCAACGAACACCTTGGGGTCGACAGGCAGACACTTAATGTTTATATGAAACATAGGGGTTTACCGTCGTGGATTGATACAGTAAATACCATATGTCATTTATTTACAATTGACACCTCTATTTACAAGTAACAACGAACACCTTGGGGTGGACAGGCAGACACTTAATGTTTATATGAAACAAGGTGGTTTACTGTCGTGGATATAGTAAATACATTATGAAATATATTTACAATTGAGACCCGTATTTACAAGTTTTCGGAAACACCTTTCGGTAGGCAGGTAGTCAACGTGTTTACATGCAGCAGGATAGTTTACCGTCGCGGATTGCTGAAGTCAATACGCTCCACAACACTCATAAATATCGATTCCTTTTAAAACACAGTACTCAAGGACCGGAGCAGGATCATTTGAAAACGACATTGTATCCACACAGCATCTCACCTTTTCAATGAATATTTACACACGCATCCAGGTCAACTAACTAGGCCGACACATCGCATACATACTGTCAACTGACAGGACGCCTCGCACATAGTCAATATATCCTGACCTACCTAGATAAACATAGCAAACTACGAGATGACACTACGTGAGTTAGATACAAAAGCTACATGAAACGAACCGACAATAATACAAAGCGTATCAACTATTAGGACGAAGCTGCGGTAAGCACGACCGCACCCTATCACTGTATCAGCATGAATATTTACCCGAATCGATTGAAAAGGGTTCAACTTTAGCCCCGCCGTGTCCGCCGTGTCCGCTCATATTGTTGGTGCTAGGATGACTGACTTGAGGCGGTTTGGGTTCCGATAACTTTGGGTCGTTATCAAGGTCTTTATAATACTCGTCTATCAGTTGGTCCGTTCCCGTCTCCTCTGCCTGTCCTCCTTCGCCTCGGTACATCGCACTGTTGCCTTGAAAACTTGGGAACTTCCGGTGGGAGACCTGGACGTTAAGCTCCACCCTGTTGCCAGCCTCGTGTTCCGTCTCCATAACAAACAAACACTTCGATAAGGATTGCACATAATCAGTATTTTGTATTCAGCAGTCACGCGGTATTGATTAATCCTTTGCATTGTGTTGTTAGCCACTGACCGATGTATTGCGATAGCTATTCAGTCCATGGTGTATTTGTCGTCACGGTTGGGTGCACGTGTTTACGTATTTTATTCAAGGGCAATCGTTTATGCTATAGGCGGTCCGAGTTGCAAAATATCTTAGTGAACTCTTCTTGTGTAAGAGCGCGTCAGGCTTACACAATTTTACACGGGGCCAGATTCCGTGTCGTCAACTCCGATTTCACAATCCAGGTGTGTTCAAAGGTAGTAGGTAAATATAGTTTTAAATGAACCTAGATCTACGTCAATGGTACAGTGATAACGATGGTGAGTCATTCGCTGCTCAGGCTGACACAATGGCGCATACAAGTGCCGAAACATGTGACTGAAATTGCGCACAAACCATAGAAATCCCATAAATCGCCAGGTACGAATATTCACGTGAACACAGTGATACGAAAATACCCGACCTGTCGCACCCCATTGTCCTGTTCTAATCGCCGTATTCACATTTCCGCGTCGGTTCAGTTAACACAGCTTTACCCCTTGGCGGAAATGAGGTGATGTGAAATGGGGTTTAACGTCGCGTCCAAGGTTATTGCACTTATAAAGGGACGTGCATGCACGTGTGTGTGTGTGTGTGTGTGCTTGAACTAGTCCGGACTGATGCCGATTTATAGTGCTAGCCCACTGAGATACCATGCCTCAGTTTAACATGAATACCCAACTCAGAAAAAGTATACTGACACCGTGCCAACCAGTCCTTGTTTTAGCCCCTTTTTAATGCCAAGCGCCAGACGGTACCATCTTTTAACGTCTTTTGGTATGACGCGGCCGGGGATCGAACCCCGGACCTTCCGCTCTCCGGGCGGAAGCTCAACCTCCAGACCACGGAGGCGGTCTCTTGGTGGAGAGTGACCATGATATTTGAATGTAAATTAAAGGAAATGACAGTGGGTGGTAATTATTTCGGTTTTGGTATGAACCTTTTTACACGTTAAAAATGAGTAATCATAATTGTTTTAATGATTAGCCAGGGAAGACATAGCGAGAACCAGCCAGGAAGACATACCAGGTGTGTAATAAAATAAATGCTAGAAATGGGAAATTTTTATTTGAATAGAATATATGTATGTAAAAATGAGGGCTGGCACTGTAAACTTTCAAAGTTGGGTCCACACTTTACGATTCATATATATGATAAAGAAAGAACATAATGCATAAGAGTGAGTGAGTGAGTTGGGTTTAACTCCGCTTTTAACAGCTTGTCACCTTAATGTGGGAGGAGAGCCTGAAGGGATGCAGGTCTCAGACGTTTACCACTTTGGTGAAATCCACGAGTACGGGTGCTGCTGGCAGACCTAGAAACATAATCGGGGCGAACAGGGATTCGAACCCAAAATCATAGCTTTCTGGCGTGCCCAAGGGACGCAACTCTGCACAGCGAATCGCCGCGTCTTAGACGACTGGACCTCCCGTGCCCCCTAATGCATAAGACATTACAATAACTCAAGATTCTGGCTGGATTCAAACTGAGACCACGAAAGAAGAAGTATCGTGAATTAGACCGTGACATAAAAACGGAAGAGAAACCTAATGACTGGCGGAAAGTGCCGATCCCAACATGCCGTCTCCGTCTCTCACCATGTTGGCCTGTAAATAAATTGATGGACATATCTAGTTTTGGTTTATGGATATGCATATGAATTCAATTGATGTACATATGTATTTTTGCTATATGCATATGAAATAAATTGATGTACATATGTAGTTTTGGTATATGGATATGCATATGAATTCAATTGATGTACATATGTATTTTGGGTATATGCATATGAATTCAATTGATGTACATATGTAGTTTTGGTATATGGATAGGCATATGAATTAAATTGATGTACATATGTGTTTTGGGTATATGGATATGCATATGAATTAAATTGATGTACATATGTATTTTGAGTATATGGATATGAAATAAATTGATGTACATATGTATTTTGGGTATATGCATATGAAATAAAAAAATATACATATGTATTTTTAGTATATGGATATGCATATGAATTAAATTGATGTACATGTGTATTTTTTTGTATATGGATATGCATATGAATTGAATTGATGTACATGTGTATTTTTGGTATGTGGATATGCATATGAATTTAATTGATGTACGTATGTATTTTGGGTATATGCATATGAATTAAATTGATGTACATATGTATTTTTGGTATATGGATATGCATATGAATTAAATTGATGTACATGTGTATTTTTAGTATATGGATATGCATATGAATTAAATTGATGTACATGTGTATTTTTGGTATATGGATATGCATATGAATTAAATTGATTACTTAGGATTGGTCTTATATTCCTATATGTAAGGGATCGATGTACGGGTCTCGGTACAGGAAGTGACAACATCCAGCACGTTGCGGTATATATACATTTGCTTTATACATGTAGATATATACAAGAAACGCTATGTGTCCGGGCATTTGCATCTTAGAATGATGGTTATTAAGTGAGTCTAAACATGTACATGTTATGCTAAGCTAAGGGTGAGACTTTATTTCTTCGTCCCTGGACCAAGTCTTACCTAGGTCACAGACATACCATCTTCCCGAGGCAAGGGAGTTAACTGACTTTAAAAGTCCAGTTTCCACCCTTGCCGAACTAGGCTGGAATTCCTGGGCCCGATCGTAGCGCCACCAGTGGCTATTACGAGTTATGTTCCTTCTATGCCTCTCCTATGGACCAGTCAGATTCCACCTCTCGTATCACTTGCATTTGATTTAAACAAAACGGTGGCGACCAGTCAAGACGATCTGATCGATAATCAAGATCTATATTGTGACAAAACGGGTCTTACATCGCGAAGTGCATCAAATCACGTGAGCAACTTGATTAAAAACATGAAAAGATTTAGAAAATATCTGTTGACAACGAGCTAGCGGTGCACATGCTTTGCAAATCCTGTAGTCGACCGAAATCTGCATGACACTTTACAAACCGGATTTCGATTTCGGTGCGCGATTTTGATTGGACTATGCATAGACTCGTGAGTCCAGCCAAAACCTAACTCCATAATACCAGCCTAGTTCGGGAAGGGTGGAAACTGGACTTTTATAGTCAGTTAACTCACTTACCTCGGGAAGATGCAGACATACTTTAACAGCTCGTTCAGGTTGCTGACAGTCAGTATACAATACCATGGTAGTGAGAATTAACAATGGGGTATTAGCATCTTATAAAAAGAGAAAAGAAAGAAAGAAAAATATTGTATTTTTGTTTCACCCAGTGGCCGCCCCGAGGGCTATGAGAGACAATAAAACACATATATAAAAAAGGCAATTAATTGATTCTAGACATGTTGTGGATACATGGTATATAATTGGGCGTTAACTCAAGTATGGATAAGATGTATAATGCATATTGAAATTAAATGTGCAAATAATTTCACAGGCACTTGCATTATACACACCAGTATATACGACTTACAGCGAACATGGTACAATAAATACTTTCAGAAAAATGTACAATCTAACCAAGTAAAGGTAATGGTGACTAGGTAAACTGACATTTGTTACGACAACAGTGTGGACAGGTGGTAGCGTTATGGGTTAAGACTTAATTTTAATTTGAACTTTTGAGTCGGTGTTCGAGAAATGAGTAATCATGTACTGCCATGTACTGGTCGCTTTGTTACATTATAAAAGCTTTGTGAAGTGCCTGTCGCCGCACTCAGCAATAGTCCAGCCATATGATACCGGTCAGAAAACTATCGACTCTGGACCAAAACAATCCAGTGATTGATATTATGAATGGTGATCCATGCTGTCGTCGAATATCTTATATATGGCTCCGTCTCATGGCTGGATTGGTTGGTTGGTTGGCTGGTTTGTTGTTTAACGCCACACTCAGAAATAGTCCAGCTATATGACGGCGGTCTGTAAATAATCGAGTCTGGACCAGACAATCCAGTGTTTGATATTATGAGCATCGACCCACACAGTTGGGATCGGTGACATGCATCAACCACGTCAGCGAGCCTGACCACCTGATCCCGTTAGTCGCCTTTTACGACAAGCATAGTCGCCTGTTACGACACGAATGGGTTGCTGAAGACCTATTCTACCCCGGTCCCAATGGCTGGAATATTGCTGAGTACGATGTTAAACACCAAACAACGTTTGTCTCTCTACCTAAAAATGGATTATTTCACAAATTCTCATAAATGAAAGCGTTATTGTCAGAAACATTGTTTGGTCCATATTTCGTCCCGTACCACTGCGAGGATAACCAAGAGGAACACAGGTTGTCAACATTGGGAAAGGTGGGACCAGCGGTTAAAGTAGAATCGATTATTGTTAAGGGCGAGACCAGTTAAGGCAAATATCCGATGATCGTGGGTTCGATTCCAAGGTTAGAGAATCTTGGTTTGTCAGCACCACACTTGCATTCATGGGTTTTGCCAAAGAGATAAACGGACCAGCATTGCTTCGAATTTACTCGTACATTAAACTGTTATAAAACTGAAATACTCTTCAAAGAACGATTAACCGACTTACTACACCTCCCGCACAGAAGGGAGTGAGTGAGTATGGGTTTTACGCCGCTTTTAGCAACAGTCGAGCAAAATCACGGCGGGGGACACCAGAAATGGGCTTCACACATTATACCCATGTCGGGAATCGAACCCGGGTCTTCGGCGTGACGAGCGAACGCTCTAACCACTAGAAACGCTCTAACAACTCAACTATTGTATCCATTCAATATTGCAGATTATTTAAAAAATATGAAAAAAACGTCTGGTAATCAGTCGGATCACAAATTACGTCCTTGCTGACTGCACTTCTTATGAAAAAATCAAGTATCCTTCGATGATTACAGGTACATGTGAAAAAAACCCAGCACACCACATCATAATAGTATTTATCATATACCTCTCAATGATATGAGGCATTTTACATGTAAATAGAGCCAACACGGAGACGATCATATCACAG